AAGGACCCTGCTGCATGGAACCGTGCAGAACAATATTGACATTAGGTCAAACCATAGGAAATTACTGATGGCCAAACATGTTTGATGCTACATAGGTGACAGTTTTATGTGGCTCAGCCTAATAAGGATGCCACCTTGAGCCTGTGAGGTGCTGTAGCTCAGCCCTTGGGGGAGGGGGAGCAACAGAGGGCAGTGAGCTACTTGGCAGGTCAGCTAATCTAATCTCTGAACTGCAGCTTTTGCACTGTGTGAAATAAGAGCAGAAACAGAGCTTACAGGAAGCAGTGAGGGTCAGATGTCAAAATGAGAACAAATGTATACAATGCTCAGTTCAGTGTTTGCACACACAAGGCGCACTAAGAAACAGGACATGACATAATTAAGGAGTGCTTCTGTGGTTGTGGCTCTTCTTGGAGGTGCTTAATGCTACCGCAGTCCTGCTTACTCATCTGTAAATGGGCCACCGTGGTACACACCTCACAGGCTTGTGGAGGTGGCCTGAGCCACTGCATATAAAGGCTGGATCTAGATCCGTGGCAAACATTACCTCATTGTTCCCGCCACACAGCCTGAGACCTGCACAAGTGACCCCTTGAAGATGGGCCACATGGGTGGGGCAGGGTAGGGGAAGCATGCTTTACTTGATGGGGGTTCATGGCACAGGGACAGTCCTGCAGTGACAGTGGCCAACCTGGGTTGAGAGCTTGCTCTTCATCCTTGCTCCGGGTTGGTCTCTCTGTGATGTCTCCCAGCGAGCCATTTCTGCACCTACGCGAGGCTGCAGGATGCACTCCAATCTCACCAGGGACTCGAGTGCTGGCTACACGCTAAGTCCTGGCAGCAGCTACCCATGCGGGTCAGCAGTTCCCTGGAGGAGGGTCACCCCTCTGCAGGAGGAAACCAGGGCAGAAGCCACCAGTCTAGAACCCCACCCTTGAGTCTGAATGGTGGAGATTTTTGAGTCATAGGCTATGAAGGTTTATCCTGTTGTAAAATCTCAGTCCTTGGCGTGAACATGGGAATATTAGTGACACCTGCCTCCTAGGAGGTGGTGAAGGCAAAATGATTAGGTTTGGGGGAGGGGAGGTGACCAGCTCTCTAGGCTTGCCCAGGTGCTTTGTGCTATGATCGAAACAATCTTTTGAAAATGGGAGTCTGATTTCCCCTTGCAGTCAGGTCAAAGCCCAACGCCTTAATCCAGGCGGTTTCCCTTGGGCCTCAGATTCCCCCGTGTCTGTGCTTTTGCCCAGTGACCTTTACCCCTATAAACACCATGTGATTTCCTGCCTCCTCTGATTTCCCCCCCTGCCCCGCCCCACCTTTCTCCAGTCTGTGGTGCTTTTAGCCCCCAACGCCCAGACCCCTCTGCCTGCAGACCCCTTCTCACCCTCAGTGCCTTCTCAGAGAAGCTTCCCTGCCCCATGGCCTGGCGGTTAGCAGCACCAGCTCTGGGGCCTCTCTGACTTGGGCAACTTAGTCTGTGTGCCTCAGTTTCCTCATCTAGGTAAAGGGGAGGATCATCATTTCTGTCCCGTAGAGTTTGGGGGAGAATTAAAGGAGAAGATACACAGAGGGGCTCAGAATAGTGCCTGGCACAAAGTAAGCGCTCAATAATAATCAACTATTATTATTACTGTTAATATCTTTTATAATGTGTCCCATGGCACCCCGTAGGGCCTTTGTAACAGCTTTCATACATGTAATGGCTCACTTACGCCTGTCCACCCTGCCAGATCAATTCCTTTACTGCAAGTGCAAGGAGTCCTAGCCAGGCAGAGGGCTTGTTTATCTTTGTCACCCTCAGGGCACATGAGTGATCAGGAAGCCAAGGGCAGGGCAAGACTTGATGGGGTCTGAATCTTAGGTCCCAATTCCAGCCAGCAATTTGCTAGATGTGGGACCTTGCACAGTACCAAACCTCAACATGCCCGTCTGTAATATGGGAATGCCCATAAGTAGCACCTGGGTCGCCTGGCTGTATGGACTACGTGGGATGACGCATATAGAGAGGCTTTAGTGCCGTGGCTGTCGGGGAGGCTGTCGTACAGCGGGGACCATTCATACACCATTGTACTTGTTCCTTCTTGCCCTCCTGCTGTAGGCATCGAACCTGGCCACATCCCCGGCACTGTGAACATCCCCTTCACAGACTTCCTGACCAGCGAGGGTCTGGAGAAGAGCCCCGAGGAGATCCACCGTCTGTTCCAGGACAAGAAGGTGGACTTGTCCCAGCCGCTGGTGGCCACGTGTGGCTCCGGCGTCACAGCCTGCCACGTGGCACTGGGAGCTTACCTCTGCGGCAAGCCCGATGTGCCCATCTATGACGGCTCCTGGGTGGAGTGGTACATGCGCGCCCAGCCGGAGGAAGTCATCTCCGAGGGCCGGGGGAAGACCCACTGAGGCTGGGCAGGACGCAAGGAGCTGTGCCAGAGTCAGTTCTGACTCTGCTTTGACCAAGTGTGTGTTTCTTCCTGCGAGTCAGGTGGCACACAGGGGGACATCCCAGAGCCCAGGAATTCTGTTGACTTGTGGGCTCCCGACAGAGGCCGGAGAGAAGGTGGTGGTGGGCGCAGGGGAAGGCAACCTCCCACCTGCTGAGGTGAGGCCCTCCCTCCCTTCTGTTTCACTAATGAGGAAATAAAATGGCCAAGTGCCTAATCTTTCTAACTGGAGGGCTGCCTGGTTTTCCTGAGGAGCTGGTGGTTCCAGCATGCCCAGCTAAGGTAGTTCTGTGGAGCCTGAGGGTCTTGGGGATCCCATCCCTGCCTTCTGAGCAGGACAGGAGCCCCAGAGCCCTTCCATTCCTATGACCAGAGTGCCCCTAGCAAGCTGTCCTCCACTCCGTAATGCTGGGGGCCTGGCTTCTGGCTTCTGGGCTATTTAAGATGCATCTTGCTGTGATATGTCTGGAGTGCCACCCAAAGGCCCACCCAGGTCAATAGTGTGTCTCCTCTTGAGACAGAGATGGGTCTGAACCGGTAGGAGGCTATACCGCACTGAGGAGGCTTGTCCTGGCCAGGACAGGATGTTCGGGAGAGGGGCTGAGTATAGCCTCTCTGGGATCCCACACTTGGAGGCCAGCGTCTGGAGCTACCAGGGAGTGGAGTGGGGGGACCCGGGGGGTTGATCGTTTCTGCTCAAGGGACACTTCTGCCTGCAGGCTTCCTGAGGCTCCAGAGGAGGCTCTGTCCTCCTCCCTCTATATTTGCCCTTTGTGCAGAGATAGACATGGTGTCTGAGAAAGCCCCAGATGGCCCCTGCCCGAAGTTGGGTCACATCTCCCCATATCCAAGCCCCCAGGGCAAAGAGGCAACATGGGTCGGTATTGGGGAGAACCCGAGGAGAAGGAAACCAGAGTGGACAGTGACTTACCCAAGGACACACGATGGATTTACCACAGAGCTGGGCCAGACCCAGGTTTCCTGACTCTGAGTTTACTCTTTGTAGCTGCGACCCCCATCACATTTCCTCTGACGCTGAGTCCCCTCCCAAGTCCACGGCCACGAGGGAGCCAACAGGACAGAATCCTGGTTTTTCTGAATGGGAGCTCTAAAGTAAGTCCCAACCTCTCTGAGCCCCTAAAATGGGAAGAATGCATAGTTCAGAAGGAGGGATTTCAGACAAAACTTTAGGCAGGAGCTCATTGCAGAGTCCAATTTTTTTTAGGATTGTATTTATTTATTCATGAGAGACACAGAGAGAGAGAGAGAGTCAGAGACACAGGCAGAGGGAGAAGCAGGCTCCCTATGGGAAGCCTGATGTGGGACTCGATCCCAGGACCCCAGGATCATGCCTTGAGCCAAAAGCAGACACTCAACCACTGAGCCACCCAGGTACCCCAGTTTCTTCATCTTTAAAATGAGAGTCATAGCATTTCCCTTGAGCAATATGGGGATTAAGTGAGCGGATCCACTGAAACCTTTGAGTGTGGTGCTGGGCACAGAGTAAATATCAAGTGTTCCTGTTATTTTTTTTTATTTTTTTATTATTTATTTATTTGTTTGTTTGTTTATTTGCTTTGTAATCAGTATATTAAGGAGACATTCATACATTTCAATTGCTTAATTCTGATTCCAGATTTAAGCTTGTGAACATGACTTTTAAACATACAATTAAAGCTATTCATCATAATTTGCTATACTACCAACATGAAATTATAGTTACTTCAGAGCATAAGTTAAATGGTTTAAAGTAAGCCTGTCACATACCTAGAAGACACCTTCTGTCTCATACATGCAAATTAACTTCTCCACGTAAATGTCTCTTCACTCTAAGGTACCCTGCTCCTGAAATCACTACTCTGAAGTTTATCATGGTCCAAAGAGAAGGAAAAAAAGTGTAACCAGGACATATATATATATATATTTTTTTTTTTTTTTAAAAGATGGCACAGAAGGGAATGCAATTCTACAAGTACAAGCCCTCAAGCAGCAGCATATGATAAACCCCTTCTTTAGAGAGGTATCCATTCTATCACTGATACCACGGGCCAAATTACATAGCATGCCATCTTCAAGTAACAGTTGAGGCAATAAAATGCAGAGGCATCACAATGAATCCTACTTAACGTAACTACAGACCAACACTTCTCTACAAGTTAATAAATTCTTTGATTGCCAATTAAATACAAGTTTTAACTTCATAGCTTAACAATTAAGGGTCATACACAAGTCAATACATACACCTAGCATTTCAGTCTAAACTGTTTCATATACATAGAGCTGCAATCAATTACAAGGTATGGCCTAACAAACGCTAGGGGAGATTTTTTAAAAGTAGTTTTTACAGTATTAAACTTATCTTGCACACTGAAGTCATCATACATACAGGGCAAAGTCAGAGCTTTTATATTTGAGTTTATTCTTCATTTAGCTTTTAAAACACTACTAGAGTTGAATATTAAAACAAAAACAATTGCAAGTAGTGAGCTATGATTATAGTCCTTCACTCATCCACTACTGCATATAAAATGCCAGCAGCAGTGTTATTCACCGGCCCCATTAAGAGGTCTGACACTGAACACCACCCCTAGGATGATGTTCATCATCCTCATATGCTTCCCCATTGTAATGGCGCTGTCTCTCCTGATTGGGATCAAAGTCCACAAGTTCTACCTGGTCCATTTCATCAGTCTCTTCTACTTCCTTCCTCTCAGGTAGTTTTTCCAGCAAAGAAAGTTTATCAGGAGAGAGAAAGACGTTCTCAGGGAAGTTTACCTTAAATTCGATGATTAGGCGACCCTTCTCATATGGTCTACGATAAATTGGCATGCTTTCATTTAGCACACACTTGATATCCCCATGCTTGACAATCTGAGCTGGATGAGAGGTGATGACGATGGTTCGGTCGTCAAGAGTAGATATTGGCTTTTGAAAGCCACACAGGGCTTCAACCAGCTGTATATCCATACACATGAAAAGATCTTCTCCTCGTCGAGTAAAAACAGCATGGTCCTTCTGATCTAAAACAATGATAATGTCTCCTGGTTCCAGTCCTGGTTCTTGGTCTCCCTCACCATGGAATGTTATCTTCTGGCCATCTTTCATGCCTTTGTCAATATGCACTTCTAGAATCTTCTCTTGAACTATCTTCCTTCCGTTGCAGCTTTTACATCTCTCTTTAGGACTGATCCGTTCCCCATGGCCCTGGCACTCCATGCACACAGACTGAATTTGCTGAACCATTCCAGGTCCTATCTGATGAATTCTTATTTGCATTCCTGTACCTCGGCAACTGGGACAACATTCGACTGCTCCTTTCTTACCACCTTGGCCTTCACATTTATCGCAAATCACATTCTTTTGCAGAGCTAGTTTTCTTGTTGCGCCATTATATAAATCTAAGGTTACTGAGAGCTGATGTACAACATTTTTACCTCTTCGTTCTCTCTGCATCCTGCCTCCTCCTCCAAAAAACATATCAAAGATGTCCATGGGGGAGCCAAAACCACCACCAGCTCCACCTTCTTTAATTGCCTGTTCTCCTCCTTTGTCATATAATTCCCTTTTCTTTGCATCTGAGAGCACTTCATAAGCTTGAGAAATCTGTTTAAACTTCTCTCCTTCATTTGGATTCTTATCAGGGTGGTACTTCAAGGCCAGTTTTCTGTAAGCCTTTTTCAATTCCTCCTGGGTAGCATTGGGTTTGACCCCCAAAACATAATAGTAAGTGGTTTCTTTTTTTTTTTAAAGATTTTATTTTTTCATGAGAGACACAGAGAGAGACAGAAACACAGGCAGAGAGAGAAGCAGGCTCCATGCAGGGAGCCTGACGTGGGACTCGATCCCGGGATCCCAGGATCGCGCCCTGGGCTGAAGGCAGACGCTCAACCACTGAGCCACCCAGGTGTCCCAGTAAGTGGTTTCTTTCACCATTTTCTACAGCCAGTGAGAGGGCGGAAGCCGGTGTGGGGGAGCGGGAAGGAGCGCGTTGCTGGGCGCAGCTCAGGCAACCGCCGCTCCTCCGCGTCTCACTGAGCGTTCTGGAAAGTTCTGCCCTGTTATTTTTTTTAAAAGAACTTTTACTTATTTGGCATGTCGCGTGCCTCCTGTACTTCCGGCATTTGGGGCGAGAGGACAACAAATACAAGAATTATGTTTCTGCCCTCGAAAGGCTTCCCAGCCAGGGAGTGAAACTGGCCAATGCTATCATATTTCCAGAAAGAAGGGAGTACCTTGAAGTGGCAACAGACTCATTCTACAAGTGAGAAAACAAGCTCAGAGAGGTTGAGTGATTTCCCTGAGGACACAGGGCTTGAGAGAGGGGCCTAACTGGAGTTAGAAATCTCAGGGTTGAAGCCCCTCCCACTGGTTTTATCTCTGGTGGCTTTCCAGATTTCAGGATCAAGGGGAGAATGGGGTGTCACTCAGGGTTTGGAAACACTAGTGACAAGCTCAGGGAAGAAGGCCAAGTGTCATCTCCCAATTCTGTGAGGAGACACTCTGAGCTATGGCATTTAAACAAGGGGTTTGGCTAGGCTTTTTCCCCCACCCTGGCCTCTTCCCAGCCAGGAACCCTTGCTGATCCCTGCTGAGATGTTTCCTCCTGGGAAGGTCCTGGATGGGTCTGGACAGGTTCAGAGAATTGCCCAGAGGCAGGAGAAAGGAGCCTTGCCTTTCTAGGATTCCCAAAGTTGTAGTTTAACTTTGAGGAGTTGACTGGGCTCCACCCTGCCTCTTGCAAGGCTGAACTCCCAGAATGATTAACCACTTACCGCAGGATCCCCACCTCTGCCAGCACCCACGCCACCCACCCCGTGTGTTCCAGGCAGAAACTTGCCACACTGGACAACAAGGATGATGAAATTTTTGTTCACTTGGCAAATATTTGCTGAGCACCCCCCTGTGTCAGGGAGAGTTGGACAATTCCCAGCCTTGTCTAACCAGCTGCACCGGAACATGCTCATTCCTTGGATGGTTGCCTCGAGGGATCACGGCCCCCGCCCCACCCACAGTGGACGATCCTGGTGCTTGGAATCAGTTCTGCATGAGGCCCCAAAGGGTCTGCCTTCTAGATCTTTTGGGGCGGGGCCACCATCGTCTAATCTGAGAAATGGGAGCAAATTGTAGGTGTGCCGTCAGGTAAGGTCAAGTTCAAAACAATATAAGGTGTCAACTCCTACTGGAATAACCCAACTATATACGCACAATGGAGCTTTATTCCGAATTTATGGGGGAATGAGTCATTCAGGAAGAGATGGAATTTTTTAGGTTACTGAAGCTTTACAATTTTAAGCACCAGAAGTTTCAACCTATTTACCTGGTGGGGGTGGAACATGGTATACTTGAATACCAAGAGGCTTTGTTTTACCATTGCACAGTGATCCCTTCTGGGGCCATTTGCTCTTGACCTAAATGGCTCCAGCTGCTGTGCCTTTCAGGTCCTTGCAAGTCTGAATTTTTCTTGCTGCCCATCCTTCCTGGTTCCTGTCACATTCCCCAGAGTCTCTGCCTGCTTCTAGGTGGGCCCACACTCTCTGGATAATGGATAAACCCTTTCAGTGGCTTCTCCCACTTTGTTGAACCAGTCACTCTCAAATCTGGCAGCTGGCTGGACCCAGGTCCCATCTGAATTCAGATCCCCTGTGTCCATTGCTGGCTGGGCCTTTCACCCTGCTCCTCGGCCCATGTTCCCTGTCTCAGTATGCACGGCCACCACCAAGGGGTCACCTGTGCCCTGACCTGGCAGTGAGTCTCCAGAGTCTACCTCCCTCACTCATGGCCAGTCAGCACTCAGGCCTGGGGAGCTCCACCCCAATTCCCACTGCCTTGGACCTCTTACCACCCCGACTCTCAAGATACAAAGATGCCCCCTGTCTCATCCACTAATTCCAGCACCTGCTTTCAAGACAGGCCTTGTACCAGGATCTGAGGCATGGAAGCTAAATATAGACCCTGGGAGGGGAATTGGCCTAATTGGCAGGGGGCGGGGGGGGGGGGGGGAACAAGACAGACATACCATGACAAGTGTAGTGAGGAGGACCTGAGAGACAGAACACAGAACAGGAGAGGGTGGAATTGCTGGTTCTGCGTCTGAGAAGCACCTCTGCATGGGGCCGACAGCCCCCTTATGATTTCCCTGGACCCCACCTCCAGGCTTCATGTAGAGAAGTGATAGTGGGGGTGCCTAAGGGGCTCAGTCGGTGAAGCGTCTGCCTTTAGCTTGGGTTGTGATTTCAGGGTCCTGAAATCGAGTTCCACATCAGGCTCCCTGCTCCTCGGGGAGCCTGCTTCTCCTTCTCCCTCTGCCTGCCTGCCACCCCCCTGCTCCTGCTCCTGCAAGCTCTCTCTCTGTCAAATACATAAAATCTAAAAAAAAAAAGAAAAAAAAAAAAGGAAAGAAAGAAAGAAAAAAGCAAAGAAGTGGGCAGCCCTGGTGGCTCAGCGGTTTAGCGCCACCTTCAGCCCAGGGCCTGATCCTGGGGACCTGGGATCGAGTCCCATGTCAGGCTCACTGCATGGAGCCTGCTTCTCTCTCTGCCTGTGTCTCTGCCTCTCTCTCTCTCTCTCTCAGTAATAAATAAAAATATATTTTTTAAAAAAGAAGTAATAGTGATCGGGGTTCAAAGCACAGCCTCTGGAGGCAGCCAGACCTCCTGCTTCTTGGCTGTGAGTGTGGCAGGTGCTTCAGGTACCTCTTCTGTGACGTGGGGCTAATCCAGTACCCACCTCATAGGATCAGATTCATACAAAGCACTGGGAACAAAAGCCAGCATCATAGGTACTTCGTACACACCTTATTACTCTTACTAACATTCTGTCCTCCCTTCATTCCTGCCTCCCCGTGACAGCCTGAACCCCCGCGAGGATGCCTGCCTTATTCACAGTCCTCTTTCTGGCCCCAGCGCAGTGACTGGCACAGACAGGTCTTTTTTTTTTTTTTTAAGATTTTATTTATTTATTCATGAGAGACACACAGAGAGAGGCAGAGACATAGTCAGAGAGAAAAGCAGGCTTTCTGCGGGGAGCTCCATGTGGGACTGGATCCCAGGATCCCAGGATCATGACCTGAGCCGAAGGCAGACGCTCAACCACTGAGCCACCCAGGTGCTCCCATGGACAGGTCTTAATGAATGCTTGACATTTATACATATAACTCTGTGAAGGTTGAGGGAGACCCTAATAAGCCACTCAATTTCTCCAGCACTTTCCTTGCCAGGGAGGATGCTTAGTGTTTTGTATTCATTTCATCTGACAACCCTGAGGAAGAATGTTCTTCTGCCCCATCTAACAGGTAAGGAAGGTTGGGGCCTAGAGAGGTCGCAGGAAGGTTCGGGCTAGGATTGCCATACTGGATGGGATGAGTATAGGCCCTAATTAGCTGGAGGCATGTGCCCAGCTGCAGAGCATGGGGCCCAGAACCGTTGGGGGGGGGGGCGGTGGGAATTCCCAGGTCCCCTGGGGTCAGAGATGCTTCCCTGGGTGCAGCAGGGTATTATTACCCCCAGTAAGCCTGGCTGCATGCACTCTTCCTTCTCACCTTCTTCCCCTGCCAGCCTCTGCTCCCTCCCACAGCCTATCCCCATTTCTGAGCCAGGAAAGGCTTGAAAATCAGTTACAAGCCCATTGAGAGAGCAAGTCAAGTAAGAGGAACCGGGCCTGAGTGGGAGCCCACGGGCTGCTTTGGTGAGCGAAAGGCATCAGCTTTGGTGCTTGCATAACCCAGGAGCTAGGGATGAAGAGGGAGAGCCAAGGATGGGAATGTTTTTGATGCTGCCTGGTTGACTTTAAAATAAAGCAAGCAGGGGTGCCTGGGGGGCTCAGCAGGTTAAGCATCTGCCTTCAGCTCTGGTCATGATCTCCAGGGTGAAGGGATTGAGCCCCACAACAGGGTCCTTGCTCAGTGGGGAGCCTGCTTCTCCCTCTCCCTCTGACACTCTCCCTGCCTGTGCTCTCTCACTTGCACACTCTCACTCTCTCTCTCTCTCAAATAAATAAAATCTTTAAATAAAGAAAGCAGGTAGATAACGAATTTTGTTTCATTGGGTTTACTTCTGTCTCTAGGATTCCAGAAAGCACTGCTTTCTCTCCTCCCCCGCCCCCCTGGGATTGGGGTGCAAAATGGCAGGTAAATGCTCCCTCCCACCTGTGGAGAGTGGGTTTGGGTAGGAATTCAGTACCAGAACCATGCTGGCTCTTCTGATAGGCCAGGGCTACAATGCACTGCCTGTGGCTACACAGGATTCTGGGAGAGGTGAGGTGCGTGCTGTGATGGGCAGAACCGGCCAGAGACTGCCTTGGGCCAGGCAAGAGCTCCCAGCCATCAAGAGCTGCTCTGGGAGCAGAGCTGGAGACGTCCCCTGGGGAGGTATGGGGCCTCTGGCTCACCTACCTTCACACTACTGACTGGCTCCTTCATCCCCTGGCCCCCCCAGCAGCAATTTCTGGCTGCCTGGTTGCCCTTCATGGGCCTGGTACCTGTGTCCAGCTTCTGCCATCTTGACTTGGCCCTTGGCCTGACTCACTGTAATGTCTGCTCTGGCAGCTCGCATCTGACAATAAAATGCCATGAAGAAATGTAGAACAAGGGACACCTGGGTGGCTCAGTGGTTTAGCGCCTGCCTTCGGCCCAAGGTGTGATCCTGGAGTCCTGGGATCCTGGAGTCCTGGGATTGAGTCCCACATCGGGATCCTTGCAGGGAGCCTGCTTCTCCCTCTGCCTGTGTCTCTGCCTCTCTGTGTGTGTGTCTCTCATGAATATATAAATAAAATCTTTAAAAAAAATGTAGAACAAATGATGGAATCAGGAAAAAAATCACAATTTGGCAATCATCATAGTAACAGTGATAGCAAGAATCATCCATGAATATTAAAATTAATGATGAGATAAGTGTTTGCTGGAAAGCAGGATTTTTTAAAAAGACTTTATTTCAGAGAGGGAGAGAGAAAGAGGGAGTGCAAGCATGAGCAAGGGGAGAGGCAGAGGGAGAAGCAAACTCCTTGCTGAGCAGGGCTCAACGCCAGGATCCTGAGATCATGACCTGAGCCCAAGGCAGACAGGTGCTTCACTGAATGAGCCACCCAGGCGCCCCTGGAAAGTGGGATATTAATGTAGTCTCAATTATCTCCCCACAAGACAGCGATGAATTCAAAGCGCAAGACACGAACTATACTGATCAGACTTGATTGAGACCACCTTAACAAGTGACCAGGTGCCCTTTCCAGCGATGGGACAAACTGACACGTGTCCCTCCTTATCGGAGGCATGAGGACACAGCACCGCTTCTGGGTGTTCCTGCCCCAAATGCACACAATGGGCGTGATCATGAGGAAATATCAGACAAAACAAAACAGGGCATTCTACAAAATAAACAGCCTCAAAATAGGAGGCTCCTCAAAAATAGGAGACAAAAAAAAAAAAAAGAAAAAAAGAAAAAGAAAGACCAAAGAACTAAACTTTGCACATCAGAAGAGTAAAGAGATATGACAATGAAATGTGATGCTTTCCTGATTAGATCCTACAGGACTTTTTCCTTTTTTTTTTTAAGATTTTATTTATTTATTCATAAGAGACAGAAAGCGAGAAGCAGAGACATAGGCAGAAGGAGAAGCAGGCTCCCTGAGGGGAGCCCGATGTGGGACTCGAATCTAGGACCCTGTGATCACGACCTGAGCCGAAGGCAGGTGCCCAACCACTGAGCCACCCAGGTGCCCGACTTTTTCCCTCTTTTACTGTAAATTTATGACATTAGCAAATGGAGATTTGAAGAAATAAGTAGATTAGTTAGTGGCATCCTACTGATGCTCATTTCCTGACTTTGGTAATTGCACCGTGGTTATATGAAATAATGCATGGATCACTTCAAGAGTGAAAGATCATTAGCTCTGTGATTTACTCTCAGAGAACAGAAGAGCAAATGTAGTAAAATGTGAGCATTCGGTGAATCTGAGTGAAGCCTTCACCAGAAATTTTGGTATTATTTTTGTAACTTTTCTGAAAGTCTGGAATTGCTTCAAAATAAAATGCTATTTTTTAAAATGCAGGCTTTTCAGATTCAGTTTCAGCCAGAGCTGCCAACTGCACCCACGTTCTAAAACAAGGTGCTAGACCATCTAAAGTAGTTCTTTCAACCCAGGTGGTTAAGAACTAGCTTTAGAAACCTCAGGAGAGGGCCCCTCCTGCCTACAGTGGAGACGGAGCCAGCAGGAGCAGTTGGAAGGCAGAGGGGGGCTCTCTCTACAGGGAGCTGTTGGGGTGCTCTACTTCTCCCAGCCCATGGGGGGAGGTGCATGGGATTCCTCCCCTCCTGGAAGGCTGAGTGAGCCGGGCTTGGCCTGTGTGTCCTGGATTCCAGGGGTGCTCAGCCACTGGGTGCGTCCCAGGCCTGGGAAAGCTTGCAGGTGGGATGCGGACCTGGCTGGCCACTCCACGGTAAACCCTGTCTGTGTCCAAAGCCAGGACCTGGGTGAGGAATGGTGACTTGGGGTTGTTCAGAGGGGCTTTGGGCATGAGGGTTGTGGGCTGGGGCAGAAGGGGAGTGAGCTGTGGGACCCCATGGAGATGGTCCTAGAGTACCCACAGCCAATCAGAGGAGGCCCTGCCCAGGAAGAAGAGGAGTGTGAGGCATTCCTGGCGATGGGGGCTCCCAAAAATCTCAAAACAACCCTCCAGGAAAAAACCTAGACAGCTTGAATCGTTGCTTTGGCCAAAGCAAAAACACACCAGAGGACATGGGCGGCAGGCAGGGAAAATCTTCCCTTTCTTTTCCCATCCTCATTCCACCCCAGCCATGGAGGAGCCAAGGAGAGGAGGGTGGAGGAGCAGAAGAATCTGGGGGCACACAGAACACCCCCATGGGCCCCCCCCCCATTGTGAAATGGCAATTACCATCGCCTCTCCCTGTTGGGTTGGGATTAAGAGATAATCCGTGAAAGTGCTTGGCGAAAGTGCTTGGCGCGGAGCTGGGCCCCTGGAAGTGCGTATATAGACGCCCCTGGGGCAGCAAGTCCAAAGGTCCAAGGGGCCCCGGGGGATGGGCCCTATTCCCATTCTGTGCAATTACCGATTCTTCGAGCTGCGGAAGGACAGCAGCAGGAGCCAGAGGGGCGTCTGCAGGGCAGTGAGGTCCCTGCAGCAGGCCGATAAGACTGGGCCCGACCGTTAGGCCCTCAGTTCCCTGGAGCTGAGCTGGAAAGAGAACCAGTCGGAGCAGAGGGACCGCGTAGGCGGGGTGGGAGCGGGCGCTGGGTAGGGGAGGGTGGGGGGCCCTCCACGGCCCCGTTGGGCTGGCGCGCCCCCTGCCGGCGAGGCCGAACCGCCCGCGCCTCCCACGGGCTCAGGACCCCTGGCTGAAGAGGGCGGCGCCGGGGCTGAGCACCCTGGGGCTGAGCACCCTGGGCCCGGGGAACCGTGGCCGCCCGCCGCTGGGGCCCGTTCGTGCAAAACCCGAGCCGAGCGCGCTTTCCTCCAGACATTCGACGGCCCTTCCGCGGTGCGAACGGCGCCCCCGGGAGCCCGCAGAATTTAGGGCCCGCTCCTCCAGGAGAAGGGGTGCGCCTCCTTCACTTCTGAAACTCCAAACCCGGCGCTGGCGGCAGGCTTGGTGAATGCTGACAGTCAGAGGAAGTCCTAGGTAAAAGCACAGAGGCATACTTGTTCTAAAATATCCAAGTCCCGGGCCAGTTATGCAGACCCTCAGAGCCCCATCTGTAAAATGGGCACAATTATACTAACGTAGGCTAGAAGGATACCTCTAGCACCGGTAGGGCACATAGCTATGTGGTCAGTTGTAATAACTAACATCCACTGCATGTAATAGCACTAAGAAGTGTGAATAATGTTATGATGTAAACATTGCAAATGGTGTAAAGTGGGGATTGAAGAGGGTATGGAACTGGCCAGATGTCGCACAGCTGGGGAAACACAGAGTCCACGCCCTGGACCACTGGCCCCTGAAATCCTGTCTGAATATTTCTGGATGCTCAGGACACTCTCTCTGACTGAATATGCCTGTTTCTCGCCTCAGGAGACCCAAAAAGGTCTCAGAACTAACAACCCCCACTCTGAGACAGGGGCCAGGGCAGTGATCTCATGGGGCTGGATGTAAACACAGCAGCGTCAAGGCTAATCAGAATATTCTAACATCTAAACGTGGGAAGAGGAAGACTGAACACAAGATCCCAGCAGGGCTGAGTGACATCTTCATCACGGAACCGACAGCAGATGTGAAATAAGCCACTCAGATGTGGGGGATGCTGCTAACACGAGGTTCTAAACAGGCTGTGGCGATGAGCTCAGGTGAAGTCTTTGGGATATAGTTTATGTTCCTTCGGCTCCATCAGGAGGCAGAGGGACTCTTGGGTCATTGTGGGTCCTGGGAGTTGAGTGTGAAGAAATGGTATCTGTTGTGCCCTGGAGGCTGGTTCCCTGGGGGTGGCCTTCCTCTCTGCCTGTCCCTCCAACCCCGGCATGGAGGGCTTGGCGAGGTTGGTTCATCCCTGGGCAATGGGAATGGACCTTAAGGTTCATTAAGGCGCTTTGGCTCAGGCACAGATCTCAGGTCCAACCAACAGTATACAGGGAGGCAGGACTGGCTCCAGCAAAGCCAGTGCTCACTGAAGTTTTGCTCAGCAGGGTGCTGAGTGCTCATCACACGCCTTCCTGTGTTAGCTCATGGAATCCTCTCGACTGCATGAGCTCTGTACTATCACTATTCTCACTGAGGTGCAGGGAGGTTAGGTGACTTTGCCAAAGTCACCAGGCTAGCAAGCCATCCTTGTCTGGGATCCTGTACCCCTGCATCACCCTCCTCCAGTCTCATTTGCTTTCAAAAGCCCAATTCAAAAAAAAAAAAAAAAGACCCCAAAAAACAAAAGCCCAATTCAGGGCAGCCCGGGTGGCTCGGTGGTTTAGCACCGCCTTCAGCACAGGACCTGATCCTGGAGACATGGGATCGAGTCCCATGTCGGGCTTCCTGCATGGAGACTGCTTCTCCCTCTGCCTGTGTCTCTGCCTTTCTCTCTCTGTGTGTCTCTCATAAATAAATAAATAAATAAATAAATAAATAAATAAATAAATAAATAAATAAATAAAAAATAAATAAATAATAAATAGAATCTTAAAAAAAAAAAAGCCAAATTCAGAGCCGTATTAAGCATCTGAAAGCGGCTCTTTCCAGGAGACAGCAGGGGGCAGTGTAAGGAGCAAGGGTTTGAAGTTTGGCTCTCCTCCTGGGTAACCATTATCCTGAGAAACTGTTTCAGGGACATTCGGTTTTGCCTTCTAAGCGGGGAAGACATGCAAAAAACTATGAAGAGTGCCAGTCTGTAATCAGAAATAGGGCCGTCTGGGATTTCATGTTTTGTCAAAGCCACTTAAACCCACCTCCCCCACCCAAGGTCCCCCTAGAGCAGGGACCACCATTGATGTCTTCATCTCTGTGTTGAAAGGTCTGGCACATAATCCGTGCTCAACAAACAGTGAGGCCCTGAATGGTGGTTGGTGGGAGGGAAGGGTATCAGCCTTGTGACCGCGGTTCCTCATCTGTACGGCAGGGTTAAGGACACCTGCACAGAGGAGCTACAGGACTCCGTGGGAGGCCGGAGAGCAGGTGATTATTGGCTTGGGCTTCAGAGTCCACGAGAGCAGGCTTGGAGGCTGCCTCTGAACTTGGTAGCCATTTCCAGCATGATCTGTGAAGGCCCATGGTCTTGGAGTGGCAGTCTTATCTTCTGTAAGATGGAGGTGGGAACAGCTCGTGTCCCGCTAAGTGACCTCATGCAAGTGACACTGTGCCTCCAGTCCTGGGTCACATGTGTGGGAGCAGGTGGGGTCAGGCCGGTCCCAGGTTTCTACAACTCCAGGGCACTGACCTTCACCTTTCTCAACTTACCCCTCATGTGAACTTGTTTCAAACTGGCCCACGCCTGGTCTCTGGAGTATGGCTCTTGTTCCTCTTCCAGACGTGGCACTGTCCTCTCCCCTGACTTGATCCACCCTCCCTTCTCGACACCTCCCCAGAGAGCCCTTCTAGGCTCCTAGCCCTGGGACATTTCATGTCCTCTTTTTTGGGGAGGGAGGTCTCCTCCCCTTCCTAGGCTCAGGACAACCCCACCTGTCCTCTCGAGTCCAAGCAGTTCTCCTGAGTATCACACCTAGAGGGACAACTGTCACTTGCCCCCACAGGCACTGCAAACACTCACTGGCCCCAGACTGACCTCCTGATCCCCCTACTCACTCCCCAGACCTGCTTCTGCTTTATAGAACCTCCTTCTTCTTCTGCCTTTTCCCTCCTTCCCACAGCCCCTTGAACCTGAGTCTTTTACTTCCACTTCCTGAATATCCACCGAATCCACCCACTTCTGTCTTGGCCTGTTGACACTGCTTTGGTTTGAGCTTCCGCCAGTCCTGACCCAGATGGCCTCCTAACCATTCTCTCAGTGCTTTGAACTGTCTTCCCTGCAGCCCCTGAAATGATCCAAGTTGCAAGTCAGACCACATTGCTCTCTGCCTACAACCTTTCAGTGGACAAAGACGTATTTCCTGCTCTAGCTTTCTTTTAGCTAACAAGGATTGAGGGCTCATGCTACATTCCAGGAGTGCTACTGATCACGGCCAGTCCATATCCCACTTCATTCATCCACCCATCTGCCCATCCACCCACCCATCCATCCATCCCTCTGTCCACCCAGTATACTGAAAGCCAGGGACTATGCCAGATGTTTAACAGACGCTCTATACTGTAATCCTCACAATGCTTTCGGGAGCAAATATTATTTCTTATTTTGCAAAAGAAAAAAAAAAGCAACCGAGGTTCAGAGAGGAAGTTGCTTAAGAACATATTGGTGAGTTCTCAGGAGCAACATGCTAGCAGCTGTGGCCTATTCCCTGCCAGGGGGCAGGGCTTTGTGGAGAAGGCAGAGCTTTGGGTGGTAACTGAATTTTCAGCACACGGCCAGGCTGCCTGGTGGGGAACCTGGGGTGAGGGGGCACTGGGATTCCTGAGGGGAGCCTCCGACCCCTGCCCCGTAATCCAGGACCAGGACTGAAACATCAAGGGAAGAGTTAAGGAGGAGAGCTTCCCCTTCAGCCCCTGTCCCTCCCTGGTCCCCTCCCCTCCTCCCCCGCCCTGCAGTCCCCATGAGGTCAGTGCAAACTCTGTTACCTGTCTTAGAAGGGGGTCCACAGAACCCATCCCTTCTCACCCTCCCAAACTGCAGATGGGAAAACTGAGACCTTGCCCAATACCTCAGCCTCCAAAAGTTAAGATGAAAACCCAGTCCTCTGACTGATCCAGTGCCCTGTCCACCGTTCCTCCCTAGAAATCTTTCCCAAGGAGCATTGACAGCCCACGGTAGGAGAGCAGGAAAGCGGTCTTGGTGCTGGCAGGTCACCTGGAAGCCACCTGGGTTCTTGCTGTGTGAGTCAGGGAGGCCACTTCACGCCTGTGTCCTCATCTGTACAGTGGGTATAGTAATACCAAAGCCGCAGGGCTGCTGAGAGCTTCAGGGACTAATAGAGACGCGCAAAGCATCTGGAATATGGTGGGTGGTCAGTCAGCGTTAGGTCCAGCTGTGCTGTCCTCAAAGAACTCACGTTGGCCAGGAACCCAGTCCCCGCACCCACCGCGCCCCGCCAAGGGCAGTATGAAAGCATCTTGGGAACCCGATGCAGGTAGACGCCAGGGAATCCCGGGAGCAGCGGTTTCTTGCCGTCCCAGCCGTCCGATAACGCAGACCGGACGGGAGGAAACAGCAAGGAGAGGAGCACACAGGGGGCGGCCGAGGTGCCGGTGCGGGCAGCACACTCGCCGCCGGCCTCCCGCTGGCCTCGAACGTGACCTTCCCCCAACACCGTGACTCGGCCAAGGGCTTGGGCTAGAGGCGGGTGGGCGGGCGCCCGCCAGGCGCGGAATGGGCGGGGCCGCGAAGGCGCCGCCGCGGCCCGGGGACCCCCAGCCCCGCCCGCCCCGCCCCGCCCCGCCGCTCCCCGCCGCTCCCCTCCCCGGGCGCGGACTACAGCTCCCGGCGTGCCCGGCGCGCGGCACCTGCCCGCCCCCAGCCGCCGCGCCCGCGGGGTGCAGACGCCGGGGCGAGCGGGGAGGATGGAGGCCGGGGAGGCAGCGCCGCCGGCGGGGACGGGCGGCCGCGCGGCGGGCGGCTGGGGCAAGTGGGTGCGGCTCAACGTGGGGGGCACGGTGTTCCTGACCACCCGGCAGACGCTGTGCCGGGAGCAGAAATCCTTCCTCAGCCGCCTGTGCCAGGGGGAAGAGCTGCAGTCGGATCGGGTGAGGCCCGCGCGGGGGGCGGCGTCGGGGGCGGGGGTCCTCTCCGCACGACCCGGGGCGGCCTGGCCGCCGAGCCTGCGCGCGCCCTTCCCCGAGAGCCGGAGGCAGGAAGACCTGGCCCGAGGCGGGGAGGAGGAAGGGGATGGGAGACCGAGGGATGTGCCCATTGCCGTGGCAACGGGACGACGCCAGGCCGCGGCCATTTGGAGCATTCTGAGCACTGCCCTGGGCTCCCACCCCAGGAGGCCGAGGGGTCGGGACTCTCCCCCTCCTTCCCTAACGGGCCTGCCGCCCTGGGGACGGGAGCTGCTGAGGCTGCTTCTCCCCGCTCCCCGCCCTTTGGGGTGTGGGTGGCCTAGGAGTGCAGGGAGCTCGGTGAAGTCCTGGGATGCCTCCCGAGCCGGGCTTCATCAGGGAGGAGCCCTGGCCCGTCAGGCACCGTGTCTGGGCTCCCATTCCGGCTCCGGCTCCGACTCCAGGCAAACTGCCTGCGTGCCCTTGGGGGGGGACCCCTCCCTGCTCCCTGCTCTGGGCTCAGCCTCCTGCCTGTAACCCAAGGAGGCTACTGTGGAAGTGACCTCGAGGGCCCCTGTCCCTCATTCCCCAGCCCTCTGATGCTGTGACCTTGGGCAAGTCCCTTCACCCCTTGACGTCTCCGTTTCCCCCCTGTAGACTTGTCCGGATGCCCGCCCTGCCTCCCTGCAGGCCGAGCCTGTCCAATGAGATAGCAGCTGCTTTGGAAACTTGTAAACATCTGACATCCCCAGAATGACTGGGGATCGGATGGAGATAGTGTAGGGCTGGCTTCAGAGCAACAGCCTCTCAGAGGGACGGTCCCCAAACCCTACTCTGGGTCAGCTGCCCCTCCGAACTCACTGGATGCTCACAATGGCCGCCGGTTATGGGGGAGTGGAGTGAGGATCAGAGAAGCCAAGTCACTGGCCCAAGGTCACACAGTGAGGAAAAGGCAGAGGCAGGATTTGAACCCAGGTGTTTCTGACCCCAAGGCCTTTCTGCTCCATCATGCCACTTTGTTCCAGGGAAGAGAAGACTCTGCGTTCACCCCCTCCCTCCCATCCATACTGGGCCTGAAGGGAGGAGCGGGGAAGCCTCACTCTCCTCTCACTGCCTGTGTCCCTCATCTCCATAGGATGAGACTGGGGCCTACCTCATTGACCGTGACCCCACCTACTTTGGGCCCATCCTGAACTTTCTCCGGCATGGCAAGCTGGTGCTGGACAAGGACATGGCTGAGGAGGGTGAGTTGGTCTAGGGGACTAGCTGGGACCTGCATCCTCTAAAGTCTGCCAGGGCCTTCCGTGGAGGTCCAGAGCCAGGGAGCCGGGGGAGACATTTAACTTCTTCCCTGTTTCCTGCTGCCTTATCCCTGACAAGACTGAATCCCAAAGCCTCTGCCTGGGCTGAGCCTCGGGGCTCTGCCAAGCTGACCAGCCTGAGCTTTTGCTGGGTGCCAACAGAGAGCAGAGGGAGTGAGCCAGTGAGGCCTGCAGCCCCTGCTGTTGGCAGGGATGCCCTTTCCTCACCTCCTGGGAAGCCAGGTGTGAACGGGCTGGAGGTGGGTACGGGAGGGGGTCTGGCTCTTTTTCTGTGGGTGATCCTGTATCTCAGATGCCTGGTGAGGGCTGGCAGCAGGTGGGTGGAGCAGGTGACTCTTCCCCAAATCCAGTGGCCTCTGTAGCACAGCTGGTTGTGGGTGGAGGGGGGCGGAGGGGGAGCCTACCCCCCAGCAGGGGTTTGGTTCCTCCGGGGCCCAGGTGGCTGAGGCCCTATAGATGCTCACTTCTGGCTCCAGCGGATGGTGGGGAAGCCATGCCTGGAGAATATCCTCTTGGCAAAGCCTCAGCAGGGGCAGGGACTACATACAGTCAGTGCCAAGTCAACTCTTCCTTGGGGCACAGGGTGTGGCTCTGGGTCAGCTGATCCAGCCAGGCCAGCTTGGACATGTCACTTCTCCTTTCTGAGCCTCCTCTCGTGTGTATGAATTAGGGGCGGTGAGCTGCTGGGGAGAGCATGTTTTGGGAGAACGGGTGTCATGAGCCCCAGTGCTTGTAGTACAACCCATCCTTCCTCCCACGGTCTCCCTTCCTGACCCGCGGGTGGTGGGACGTGGTGATCTAGAGGCCCTAGTGCTTTACACTCAGAGCCCACTGTAGGCACCAGCCCCTCAGGGAGTTCAGGTGCCTGGGCCTGGGAGCAGGGCCTGCAGGGAGGGGAGGTGAACGCTCCAGCTGCGTCACAGCTGATACCTATTTGCAGATTCTGGGATTCTCCTAGTTCTCCACTCCCAGGGCCTCGGACAGGGCCGGGGCCCCCACTGAAGGGGCCGGAGGATCTGGGAAGAGACTTATGATCTGTGGGACACCAGAAAGTCACTTAATGCCCCTGTGCCTCCATGCCCACATCTGTGAAATGGGGTGACACTAGCACCCGCCTTCCTGGGCCTCTGTGAGGGTAAAAGAAACTAATACAAGTATGTCACTTGGCACAGCACCTGGCACCAAGTCCTGGGCTGCCATATTAGCTGTCTGTCTGTCACCTGCAGGGCTCACAGGGCACGCTCAGGCAGTGACACTCGGTGACCACCTACCCTGTGTCAGGTACTGTGCGGACGCCAGGCACAGTAGGGCAGATCAGACATAGGCCCTGTCCTCAGGGAGCCCAGAGGCCAGTCACGGAAAGGACCAGAGGGGTCCCTGCCCTGTGCAAATTTAAGGGAATTCAAAGACAGTGCCCATTCCCTTTCGCTGGAGAGGTGACTCAGTCTCTGAGACTCTCCAGTCCCTTGGCCATGTAGGGGCCATAACACCTGCTTCCCTGTGTCCCTAGCGCTCATGATGAGCATAGGAGGGCTCCAAAGTCAGAGGAGTTTGCATTTGGATCCCAGCTCTGCTGCTTGCTGGCTACGTAGCCTTGGACAGCTGCTTCTCTTTCCTGCCCTCAGTTTCCCTGATTGTTCAGTGGGGGCATGAAGGTGCCTACTTCTAGTGCTAAGAATTAACCACAGGAGAGAATGTAAAATGCTTAGCACAGTACTGGCACTTAGCATGTGCTTCAAGAACGGGAGCACATAATAGGAGGTCACCCAAGGTCCTTCTGGTGTGGCGTTCTAGGCTGCAGCCCCAGCAAGCCTGCTGCCTCTTGCTAGCCCTAAAGCGGCCCCCAGATGGGGGCACTGGCAGGGGTCCCTAGGTCACCACGCTCAGCACAGCAGGGATGGAGGACTGGTTGGGTGGCAGCCTCTCACCCCTTCCAGAGAGAGTGTGGGATCCAAGGAAGGACACGTGCCCTCTTGCTTGAGGCCTGAACTCAAAGATGCTCAGAGATCACCCACTATGACTAGAGCGGGTGTGGGCATGGAGGCAGAGGGGACGGGAGAGGAGGGCATGGGGGCGGCCGAGTGACCTGGGGCTGCTCTGTCTGTGCCAGGGGTCCTGGAGGAAGCAGAATTCTACAACATCGGGCCACTCATCCGCATCATCAAAGATCGGATGGAGGAGAAGGACTATCCGGTCACACAGGTCAGCAGCCACAGAGCAACTGTGGGGGGAGAAGAGGCTGGGGCTGGGGGAGGTAGGGGGAGCTTCCGGGAGGTGGGGAGGCCAAGCTAGCCTGTAAGGGGAGGGTGTTGTCCAGCTCCCAGGCTGCCCAGCAAACTCCCCAGACTGGGACAAGGACGTGGGCTTCTGTCCCTCACTGGGCTCTGTTTGCCGTGTGACCTTGGGCCCATCACACTGCTCTCTGTACTTCAGTTTCCCCTTATGGAATACAGAGGTGCTGAGATCTGCACTCTTGCCTTACAAGCAAAATGGGGTCAGGGTGCAGCTCCAGGGGGCCCTGTGGGGGCAATGCAGGATGAGTAAACGGTCCATTCTGTGTGATCGGCAGACCCCAGGTGGGCATGGCACAGGTGCTGGAGTTCACATTCCTGAGCTTGGACCCTGGGTCCTGTCTACAGGATGAGCTGGAGGGGTTCTCTGCCCCCTGGGGAGATGTGGCTGGGGGCAGGTAGGCAGGTGGTGAGGCAGTATCTCCCAGCCCCAGGAGATTGAAGTGGGGAGGCTCCAGGTCCTCCTTCCTGCCCCCCGTGTGTCACCTGGTTCCAGCTCTGCCGCACTTAAGCTGGGTGACCTTGGGCAAGTAAGACCTCCTCTGAGCCTCTGTGAAAATCCATAACTTGTAGGGTTTGTGGAAGGATGAAGTGGTCATGCCTGTTGAGGGCCTGGCAGGCAGCAGAAACTCAGAACCTGGCTGTCACCTTCCCCCGCTGCCCTGCCTTGCCCCCTCTCCTTCCAGGGGGATGTGGTGGGTGGGGAGAGAAGATGACAGGTACATCCATCGTCCCCCTCCTGGGGGGCCTGTCCCTCCCACGGGTGTCCTCCACGTGGCCTCTCTGCCTGCAGGTCCCCCCCAAGCACGTGTACCGTGTGCTGCAGTGCCAGGAGGAGGAGCTGACACAGATGGTCTCCACCATGTCCGACGGCTGGCGCTTTGAGCAGGTGTGCTGGGGCCCCAGGGCCACACCTGAAACCTCCAAGCTTCCGAGCAAAGCAGGTCCTTCCCTTCTGCAGCCCCAGGCTTGGGTTCCCCGCCACAGCCCCCAGCCATCAAACTGAACAAAATTTCGGCAAGGCCACCTCTGGCAACTGACCGACCAGAACGAGAGGATGGAAACCCCGCTTGCCACAGGGCAGCTCTAGGCAACCTCTTCGGTGGGGTTCTCATGGCCATGGGGAGGGTCTACACAGCAGTACGAGCGAGTGTCTGGCTCCCAAACGACAGCTCAGGCAAGTTGATGAGAGCCATATAAGCGAGTCGACTTCCCCTTGGGTCAGCACCTCTAGCGACAAGTCCACAGGTGCAGCTTCCAGGGTCCCTGCAAGGGACAGGCCGAGTCACAGCCTTGCGACAGCAGGGAAGCCCAAGCAGTGACTTCCCCTGAGGATTCACGGTGGCCGATTGTCACCCAGTCCACGTGCAGTTTACCCATCAGGAGATACTTTATCACAGTGGCGTTGCCCTAGCCACACAGCTCACGGCCCACCTCGGGTTTCCAGATGCACAGAGCCAGCAAGTTAACCCAAGGTCGCACGTGTCCTTAGAGAAGAGGGGTTTGGCGAGCCCTTTATCTGTACCCACCATAGCTCCTTGTGTGTGGGGTTTGAAGAAGGGAGAAGGCTGGGGCTCCCCAGGATGGCCGACCAGTATGGAGGAACAAGCCGCAGCTGGGAGCCAGAGGCCCAGATCCACCATTTATGTGCCATGTGACCTTGAGCAAGTCACATCTCTCTGGGCCTCAGTTTCCTAATCTGTGATATGGGCCAATAGTGCTCCCTTCGCAGGACTCTCATGAAGATGGGAAAGGCCACTGATAAAGTCCCTAGCCTAGGGTAGGAGTCAGGCATTGGAGCCAGCCGGTGTCATGCAAGACTGTCAGCATGTAAGTCTACAAGACTCCAGAGAGGACTCGGATTCTAATCCCTGTTCCACTCTTTCTGGCTGTGGGACGTCCTGCAGGTCACCACCTCTTCAAACCCTGTCTGCCAGAGTGGCTGATGTTTCTCACTGCCAGTCGGGTGAGGGTTCCTGGGGGTGGAATGTCATGCACAGGGCCTTGTGATTGTGGTTATTACAGGGACCCCAGAACAAAAGTGGAGCTGCTCTTGGGAGTCTAAGGGAGTCTCTGGCAATTGCATGGGCTCCCCATGAGCTGATAGCTCAGGGACCACTGCTCATTTGCCCTCTGGCCTAAGGAGTAGACAACCTGTTCTACCTCTGCTTCCAACCTGTCTACCTCTGCTTCCAACCTGTTCTACCTCTGCGGGGTGGCATCATGCCTAACCCCACCTTCCCTACCACTTGGTTCTGGGGCTGCTTCAGCCACATCTGGGATGGAGGGGGATGACCTGCCCATCCTAGGGCCTCCATCTGCTTGTAGAAATTGGCCTCTAGATCTGGGGCTGGGGTGAAGGGTGGGGAGCAGCAAAGATAAGGCAGTCTTCCTCCAAGGAACAGGCCTAGCCAAGCCTGTTGGAAGCAGACCTGCCACCCAGATGGGGGGGTTGGTGAAAAGACTCTGACTTATTGTGGAAACTCGAAGCTGGGTGAGAACGGGAACTGCAAGATCAGGGCAGAAGTTGGTATCCTGACCCGTGCTGCTGTCTCCCCGCTGGCTGCTTTGAACCCAGCCTGTCCTCTTTCTCCCCTTGCTCCTCCCCCCAGCTGGTGAACATAGGCTCCTCCTACAACTACGGCAGTGAGGACCAGGCTGAGTTCCTGTGTGTGGTGTCCAAGGAGCTATACAGCTCCCCACATGGGCTGAGCTCTGAGTCCAGCCGCAAAACCAAGGTGAGCCCCCAACCTCAGCTTCCCGCCCTCCCTCCCCTCCCTCCTCTCCCCGCCCTCCACCTAGCCATCCCTGCTTCTTTCTCCCTCCTGCTGTACACACATAACCACCTGGTCACAGCCAATGCCATCCATCCCATGCCACCCATGGTCCCATCTGCTCACGCCGGTTACCCAGGCCTAGGCAGGGGGAGACATGAAATGGGATCGTCCTCAGGGCCCAGCAGGAGGAGACCTAGATGCTGTTTGAAAGGTGGCCACAGGGTGCACTGAACTAAGGGTTTGGCATGGTATACCATGCTCTTCGTGACCTTGGACAATCCCTGGCCCTCTCGGCCCCTCTGTTGTGTTTTCTGAGAAGCAAAGGTAGACCATGTCCTCTCTGTGGTGCCATCAAGCTTAGAACTTCTGGGATCCAGATGGCCCATTTATTTCCCAGAAGCGGGTCAATGTCGCCCCCCTAGCTGGCCTGGGCCAGAGCAGGGAAGCCAACTCTGTTAGTCCTGCCCCTTTCCCAGACCCCTTCCTCAGGTGCTCTGCAGGAGGGCCCCGTCAGGAACTCCATGGGGCCCAGCCTTATGTTTCTGCCCTGGCCTTTGAGGCAGCAACATCCAGCCGTGGGCAGGGGACTGAGCAGAGGTCCTGCCACCCTGAACCCAGAGACCGTCAGAAGCCTTGAGGGCCATTGATGGGGCAGATGGGGCAGGGCGGGAAGCCAGGCCGGGAAGGGGAGAGACGATTTCTCCTGGGGGCCTGTCCCAGTGTGCTGGAGACTTATGAACCCTAGCTTCCTGTCTGTCTCTCTGCCTCCCTGTCCTGTGACTTCCCCTTCCCGTCTCGCCCTGTCAGGGCCAGTGCTGGCACTGCCTTGCAAGAGTGCAGAGTGAGCCCACTGCTCCTGCCTCTCTAGGCCAAAGCCTCAGAGCCTGGGCTGTTGGAGCCTGCTGAGGGCATCCCAGATGGGGGTGGTGTCCACCTTGGGGCCTTCCCCGGCCCCATTTCTATTCTGGGTCCTCCTAAAGTGAGGCCTTCCCAGATGCCCCTCCAGGATACCCCAGCCACACCCCCGGCCTTGCTCCACGGAACAGTAGCCAGATGGATGCCAGAGTCCCCGGCAGGGCCCCTTCTCCACCCCTGCTCTAGTCCCTTCCCAGGCTCCCAGGGGCCTGGCCCAGGTGCCCCAGCCTTTCCCTCCTCAAGGCCCCCGTCCGTCTTGCCCGCCCCGAGGTGGGGCCCCTGGGGACAGCCGCGCCAGCAGGCCCTGGCCCCCGGTTAGCTCTGCACTCTTTCTTCCCTGGGTCCGCCGGCTGGTCCACAGAGCGCGGAGGAGCAGCTGGAGGAGGAGCAGCAGCAGGAGGAGGAGGTGGTGGAGGTGGAACAGGTGCAGGTGGAGGCAGATACACAGGAGAAAGGTGCAGCCACCCCCCGAGGAGAATGATTGCTCATAAAAGCCGGAGCCTCCCACCCACTGCCCGCTGGAGCCAGCTGCAGATCCCGGGGGCCGGGGCCTGCGGGGGGACGGGCCGCAGGGCTAGCTCCGCCGCGCCGGCCGCCTCACCTGCATAACCATCCCTTCTCTCACTTTCTCTTCGCAGCCCTGTCATCTCAGGAGCCCGCTAACCTTTTCTCCCTCCCACCACCACCGCCTCCTCCTCCTCCGCTTCCCGCCGGAGGCCCCGCCTCATCTCCACCCACCTCTTCTTCCTCCTGGATCTCATCTGCACCCTGCCTCTTCCCTCTCTGCCCCTGCCCGGGTTTCCTCTCTGCCTGCTCGCACCTCCCTCCCGGGGCCGCCCCCCCGGGCCCGGCCCCCCGCGCCCCCCGCGCCCCCCGCGCCCTCGCCCCGGGCGCCCCGGCCCCGCCTCCCCGAGCGTCCCGCCCGCCGCCGCCCGCGCCCCCTCGGGCTCCCCCCGCGCCCCGGCCTGGGGAGGGGGGCCCCGGCCGCCTCTGCCCCGGGCCCGCCGGGCGCCCCCCCGCCGCCGCTGCCGCCGCCGCCGCCGCCGCCGGGCCCCGCTGAGGCCGGGCCTCGCCGCCCGCAGCCTGCCCGCTCTCCGCGCCCTCACCTGTCCTCCTTGCAGGTTCCCGTCCGCACCCCTCCGAGCTGAGGCCGCGCTGGCCGTGAGGGCTCCTCCTCGGCCCCTCGCCCGCCCCCAGAGCCGCCACCCCCGGTTTGTAGCTTGGCGGAGCTGGCGGGAGGGCGGAGGCCAGGAGGGGGCGCGCTCCTCCTCCCGGACCGGAGCCCGCCGCTCGGCTGACTCCCCCCTCGCCCGTTTTGGCCTTGGCTGCGAGGCTCCGAGAGGGGAGTCAGGGGGCCCGGCCTCGGTCCCAGCCGCCCGCCTGCACCGGAGCGCCAGAGCCGGGCTGGGGAGGCGGGAGGGGAACCCGGCGGCCCCGCCCCCGCCCCGGGGTGCCCTGTCTGGGTGGAGGGCTGGGGGCGGGAGGGGGGACGACTGCGGCCCTTGGATTCCCTGGGCCTTTAGGGGGTCAGCCAGAGCCGGCTGAGGATCGGGGTGTCACGGGAGAAGTCCTGACCGGATGCCCCCGAGCCCGCGGCTCAGTCTAACCTGCCCGCTGTGTGACCTTGGGCAAGTCACTGTCCCCCTCTGGGCCACAGTTGCCTCTGAAATGGGGACAGACAGCTGCTGTCTGTGACCTTTGCCTGAGACAGCAGGGACCTGGCCTTGACCCCCCCCCCCCTGGCCAGAGTCTTGGCGACTCCGGCCTCCGGGGCAGCCATCACCCAGCCCAGGATGGGGCATGGGGCTCCCGGATGGGCGAGCTGGGTCCCCTTCCTGCTCCCCCCCTCGGCTCTGAATCCACCTTCTCTGGGCCTCAGCCCCCCACCCTCTTCTCAGAAGGGAGCCTGTGACTCACCTACCTCTTTCTCTCTCCCTCTCTTCCCTGCCCCTCCCTCCATTTCTATCTCCTCTCTGCCCTCCCCTGGCCTTGCCTCACCCCTCCTCACTGGCCCCGCCCTCTCTTCCCCCTCCCGATGTTCTGACCACCCCACCCCCACCCCCCTGCCCCTTCCCCCTCTTTTTTTCTAGCTGTTACAAGCCAGAGGCACCCGGATGTGAGGCCCCAGATCACCTCCAGGGACTTGGGGTTCCGATCTGAAATCCTTTATTTTTGTACCGCGGGGTGGGCCCCGGGCTCCAGGCGGAGGAAGCACTCTCCCCCCTGCCACTTCTGTCTGCACCTGCGGGGCTCTGATTGCCCCCCGCCTCGGGGGGCCGGGCGGGGGCCCGCTGGGACCTCTCAAGGCCCGAGGTGGGCCCCGGGACCCCTGGGCAGAGCTGCCTGTGCGTGGCCTAAGTGTGGCGCTGTCCAGCTGTGTTTCCCACGCCCCCGCGGGCCCTCCCCCGGGTCCCCCAGCTGCATGAATGGTACCCTCCCCCCCACCCGGTCACGTCTCCTCCCTGAGCCTTAGTCTCCCCGTCTGTCAAACGGGGTCACTCTCCCCACCACCACCTACCTCACAGGGTTGTTGTGAGGTTAACAAGGAGGAGCAAGGTCCCAGAATGCCCTCGGGGAGTGTACCGAGCACCAGACTGGAGGGTGGCCCTCCCCCAGAGGGGGCAGGGCCTGCTCAGCCCCAGAAGGAGATCCAGGTATTGGTGGGATGAAGGGTGCGGGGGTTGGCCCCGTGGGAAGAAGGGGGAGGGTGGCTCAGCCTCCACCTGGGCTACTCCCACCCCTGTCTGCACTGCTGGGTGCAGGGGGCCCCCCCGGCCAGGAGAGGGCAGGCAGGGGCAGGTGGGTGCAGTGCGGCCATTCAGGAACTAGTGATGAGGGCCAGGGGGCCACTCCTCCCTTTGCCCCAGGAGAGCCTAGGGGTAGCAGGGGCTGAGCAAGGGGCCCCTCCTGCACTTATGATCCCCCCCCACACACACACCCTGGGCTGTGTCCAACCCCGCCATGTAATAAAACTTGAAGAAACAGCCCCTGGGCTGCCTCCCTCTCTTCCTCTGGGCCACTGTCGGGACGGGGCTAAATTCAAGGTGGGGTCAATGACGTGGGTAATGGGGCTTTTTCCTAAAGCCTGGGGACACTGCCCTGTGGTCACTGTGCTACATATTGGGGGAGGGAGGTCACAGCTCCATCCTCTGCCCAGCAGCCAAACAAGGGCACCAACTCCCCCTTGCTGGGAGAGTTTTGGCAATTCCCCCGCCCTCTCTGGGCCTCCAGTAACTCACCTGTAAAGTGAAGGCTTGGACCAGGTGACTTCCTAGGCCCAACCCCTGAAGCCATGCAGGTCTCTTCCTGCCTCTGGGCAGCAACAGGGAATGCTGAGGGGGTAGGGGGCTCCCAGAATCAGGATGGCAGGACCCGCCCCCAACTTCCCAGCCTCAGCCCACCATTCCTGTGGCCCTTTGCTCCAACCTCTGCTGCACCCTGACCACCCCCATGCCCCCTCTGCTTCCTGCTGTGCCTTTCCTTGGCCCCCTCTACCCCTCCCTATCGCTACCACCCTTCTGCCCCAAGTCCCAGGAAATAGAAACACTGGGCCCGCGCTCCACCTTCTTTCCAAGCTCTCTGGACCCCAGGCTTCAGCAGGACCTCCCACCCCACCCCACCTGGCCAGTCCCTTCACAGACCTGGTCCTACCAAATGTCTACCTTGCTTCCCTGCCCTGGCCTCTTAGCACTGCTAGGAACATCCCTGCAGAGCAGGGGTCCCCTACGCAGAGACCCTCCCCAGAGCCGCCCACCTCTCCACTCAAGCCTGGGGGACCCTCGCCACTCCCCTCAGGACATTTGGTTTGCTGGACTGACCTCACGTTCTGTGTCCAACTCTGTAGAAAGTCACCAGGAGGCTTGTTAAGCCAACAGATTGTCCTTTGTGGCCCCCCAGTTTGACCCCCTAAGGCTAGGGAGGGGCCTGCAAATTTGCATTTTAGCCAGGGGCCTCCAACACTGCATCTGCAGCCTCTGTGAGAAGCCTGAGAGGCTCTGGGTGGGATGCTTTAACATCCTGTCCCCACCCAGGGCTCCCCCCAAGTGTCTGCTCTGCTCCTCCCCTAGGCGGGGCCAGCGGGCAAGTGATCTTAGGCTTGTGCCCCCAGGAGCCACTCCCTGGCTTTGACATCCTCCCCACCCAGGGTCCCTGCCTTTGACATTTCCCCTCACCCAGGCTCCCCTTCCCTAGCTGGGAAGCTAGACTCCGAGGAAAATGTGTCCACACTTGACTCCCCACTTCCTTACCTCTTCCTCTGCACCCAGACGGCACCACTGACCCTCCCTGACCACTCCCACTTGGTTGCTAAAGTTCCACCCCCAGTTCCCCTCCAGCTCTGGGTGGTTCCACACTCCTCAGCCCCCCTGCCGTGTCTGTCTACCCCCCCTTCAGTCTCTTCTGAAGAGGGTCTCTGAAATACCTCCTCCAGACCTCAAGCCCCACCCACCTCCTGCACACCTCCCTCCCAGAGGCACCCCAAATTCTGACACCTCCTCAGAGTCTTTCCCTCCCCAGGCCAGGCAGTGGCAGTTACTCCACTAGCCTTTGGGACAGACCCCGGGGAGTGGTCCTGGGTGGCGACTCCTGCCTCACCCAACCCCAACACTGAGGGTCCTTCACGTCCATCCCCACTGCCTGGCTGGCTCATTAGATCCCCTCCCCTCCCCCCTGGATCTCAGCAGTGGCCTCCTCTCAGCCTCCCTGCCTCCCGCTCCTGCGCTGGTGCCTCCACACTTGTGTGTGCCTGTGGTCCTTCTAAAATGTGAATCCACTCGTGGCACTCCCCTGCTTTAGAGCCTTCTTCTGTGGCTCCCCACAGCACCCAGCGTCAAGTCCTTAGCTCAACTCCAGATTCTTTCTCATCTGATCTCAGTTTGCTCGCCTCTCAATCTCTGTTTAATTCAAAACAGCTCACCAACATGCCCTGTTCTTTTAGGACATAGGCCTTTACACATGCAGTTCCCCTGTCTGGAATGCCCTTCTCCACCTTGGTCACCTTTGGGCTTCAACTCAAATCTCACCTCCTCCAGGCAGCCTTCGCTGACTTCCCGAGTTCCATGCTACTCCAGAGCCCCTTCACGCTGGATTGTCATCCCCACCCTTCCTGAGACCAGGGGCTGAGTTCTGTGCCTCTCTGTGACCCCAGCACTGTGGTTGGTGCTTAGTAGGAGACTGAGGGGTTGCTGAATGCAAAGGGAGTGTTGTGCTGAGAAGTGCTGGACTGGGAACCAAGAGGCTTGTACACCAGGCTTCACTCTGAAGCCTCCTGGTATGATCCTGAGGATGGCTCCGCCCCTCTGCCTCAGTTTCCTCCCAAGCTTGCAGACAGAGCCCATCACTTCTCCCATCCTTCACTCCTATCCAGGGGTCACCAAACCACTGCCTTCCTGGGGTTGCTCCAAGGACCTGAGCAACTGGCCTGAAGGTGACCCCTGACCCCACCTTGGCCTTCTAGACATTTGGCAAACAGGCTGAGCTGGAAGCAGGGTCCGCTGTCAAAATGTAGGGTTGGTGCCCCAGGGCCCCAGTCAAACCCCACAGCAGGGCCTCAGATCAAACGACTTTATTCCACAGGGTGGTGGAGCTCACTTCCAGGTGAGAGTGGGCAGTGGAGGCCCAGGGGACAGGTGGTGGGGTGAGGACCCTAGACCTGGGGCTCCCCCACCCTTTGGCTTATGGTGGCAGCTGGCCCACTTGGCTGTCTCTAGGGCTCTGGGGGCCCCTCCCTGGGGGCGCCTTCCATCCCCACCCCTCAAGTTCACAGGCTGGATCTGCTCTCTGCATTGGCGGAGGGGAGCTCAGACACCCCTGTTGGGACCTGGAAGCCCCGTTATCACTGCTGAACCATTCCCAGTGGGCAGCAGAGGAAGGGGAAGGAGGAGAGAGAATCAGGAGGCAAAAGGGCTAGATGTGAACCCCTCCAAGCGGGCCGGCTGACCATCCAGGCCCTGCGGTGCAGGGGGAGTTGACCTCCGCGGGGCCCTGCTGCCCCCACAATTACTTGCTCCCCTGACTAGTGGGTGCTCTGGACTCTCTGAGTCCAGCAGGTGGGCCCCAGCTCTGCAGGGAGGGGAGCTCCTCAGGTCAGCACCTGTTGGATCCAGCCAATCACACCTGTGATGCGGGTGTAGACACCAAAGTAGTTGGGCCGGCCACAGCCCAGGCCCCAGCTGACCAGCCCTGCCAGGAACCAGCGGCCACTGGGTTCCTTGCACACTAACGGGCCTCCCGAGTCGCCCTGAAAGGGGGAGAGGAGAGATGGGGTGGCATCAGGGTAAGCTGGGGGTCCTGATGCTGGGAGTTTCCCAAGGGATAGCAAGAGAGTCACATCCCCTTTTGAAACCTTTGCTTCCCTTGCCCCTGATGGATGGGGAGAGGCCAAAGCAGCCAGGCTGGTCCTTCTGTGGGTCCTGGCTGTCGTGGAAGTGTGCGTGTGTCCCCATGCCCCACTCCTTTTTACCTCCCTTCTGTGCGCTCCTGTTCCTAGTGACTGTGTCACCGTGGGCCAAGCGCCTCGCTCAGATGGGCAGCGGAACTGGGTTGGAGCCTTAGACCTGCCCACCCAGCTCTCTTGTGAACTTGGCGCAAGCCCCTCCACTTCCCTGAACCTCAGTTTCTTTATCTGTAAAGTTGGGACAGTGATCCCCACCTTGCAGGGAGGCTGTGAGGCTTCAGCAGGCTGGTGTGAGCAGAGGGCCAAGCCTTGTGTGATGTGAGCGCCGCCCTCCCTCCCACCTCCGGGCCCCCCAGTCCCCTGCCCCAGGAGTCACCTGGCAGGCATCCTTCTTGCCCTTCCGGTAGCCGGCACACAGCATGCGGGGTGTCACCTGGTAGCGATAGGCCTCGCTGCACAGGTCCTGCGGGATCAGCTGCACATCCACCTTCTGCAGACCATTGCTGGTGGGGCCTGCCGGGGCGGTGGAGGGTGGAAGGCAGAGATGAGATCTGACTCTTCCTTCTGCTGTTCCCCTTGCATCTCGGGATCCCCCTTCATCTCTCCTGCTCTGCCCGTCTCCTCTGCCTCCACCTCTCCATTGCTCTGTTCTGGCCCCTTGTGGGCCCCCCCCAAAGAGTCCCTACCCAAAGCCTATCCGGATGAGCCCCCCCACACACACACACTGCCCTTCCTGCTTGAGACTTCTTGGCCATCCCACTCTGCTCTGTGACAGCCCCTGGAAGATATTTCCAGAGCACACATCTGACCCTTAAACTCTCTGCCTAAAATTCATTAGTATCCCTCCACTGTCCAGCCGGGTGCTTTGCCACGATGCTTCATGTTAGAGCCCCCAGGGAGCTTCAGTCTGCACTGCGCCTGGTCCCACCCTGAGATCTGGTCTGTTGGCTAGGGTGGGGCTCAATGATGGTGTTTTCCTGGAAGCATCTCAGTTGGATTTAAAGTGCAGGTCAGGCTAAATCCTGGCTGAAGCGCCTTACAATGTCCTACGAGGCCCTCCTGTCCTTCCTCTCAATCCTCACCCACATTCGCTTGCCCCCAGCTCCCCTCTGGTGCAGGGTGTTCTCAGGACCCTGGGTTGCCATCTGTGCCCTTAACCAGAACACCTTTCTCCCCAGCTGGGACTGGGACACTGCTGACTCATCCTTCCAGCCTCAGCTTAGACAGCCCCTCCTCTGGAAGCCTCCCTGACCCCACCTGGTTGGGTATCTCCTCTGGGCTGCCAAGGCCAGCTCTACCCCCCTACCTATGTCCACTCTTAGCACTGTTCCCCCCGCCCCAAGAATGTTCTTTCCATCTTTATGCCAACTCAAAGCCTGGCATGTAGTAGGTGCTCATAAACATGTCCTTGAATGAGTGAGCAAATTAACCAATCCTTGCTTTACCACTGTTCTCCATCATCCCCTTGAATGTGTTACTGTGCATCCGAGCCTCAGTTTATCCATCTTTAACTTATCTCTATACCCCTTCCTGCCTCAGGTTGTAAATTATTGTACCCATCTTTAAAGGTGCCTGTTTTAAGGATGCAGGGCATGGCTGTGGATATGCCAGCCTGGGCCTGTATTCACAGAACAGGGGTGGCCCCTAGGGGTGGTCAGTTTAGGTGGGAAGGGGAGAAACCTCCTGCTTCAGGGGCGGTAGCAAGAACAGCAGGGCTCTGGGGTCAGGCAGTCATAGGCGCCAACCCTCTCTGGCTGTGTGACTTGGAGCAACTGCTAAAATGGGACAATAATACCCACCCCTAGGGGTATTGGGTGGCTTAAATGAGACCACGTTGGGATCCCTGGGTGGCGCAGCGGTTTGGCGCCTGCCTTTGGCCCAGGGCGCGAACCTGGAGACCCAGGATCGAATCCCACGTCGGGCTCCTGGTGCATGGAGCCTGCTTCTCCCTCTGCCTGTGTCTCTGCCTCTCTCTCTAGCTCTCTCTCTGTGTGACTATCATAAATAAATAAAAATTAAAAAAAAAAATGAGACCACGTTCCCTAAAATCCAACCTCAAGGTAGGAAGCCATCTCTGTGCAAGGAGCAGAGTTTGGAGCTTGCCTGTGGGCTGTTGCCTTCCTCACCTGCCCCATCACTTCCCACATATCCCCCAAGATAACCTCCCATGCCCTCAGTTCCCTTTAAAGGCCTTCAGGAAGGAGAGAAGGGCCGAGAAGGCGGGAGCCACCCACTATAGTAAAAGCTTGTTTTTTTCTGTGACATCGAGCCCCCGTTAATCGCAGGACCAGAGGGACCGGGCGTTGGAGCTTTGGGGACCCCTTGCTACCCCCACCTTACTCCAGGCTGGAAAGCATGGGGAGGCAGACTGCACCCCATCTCCCCACCCCCCAACAGCCGGCTCACCACCCTCGCGCAGGGCGCCCCAGCCCGTGATCCAGCAGTGCAGGCCGGGCTCGAAGAAGTGGGAGCGCGCGGGCAGGCAGACGGGGCGCACGGCGGCCGAGCGCACCACGGGGTGGTCGAGCTGCAGCAGGGCCACGTCGTAGTCGTGGCTGTCCTCCTCGTGGTAAGGGTGCAGGAGCAGGCGGCTCACCTTGAAGGACACCTCACCCGGCCAACGCGAGCTTTGCCACACTTTGCCCAAGAACACAGTCCACAGCGCTGGTGAGGCCATGCTGGGGTGGGGGTGGGGGTCCATGCTCAGCCGCTGCTGCCTCTGACCCTAGGCCCTTAGGCTAGCCAGCTTCCTACCCGGACACCCATCCCTTCCCTGCTCTGGAAAGCCCGTAGCTGCTGGGCCATACAGCCAGTGACACTGGTGCTGGAGTCCACCTGCCTGGGTTCCAATCCCAGCTTCATCCCTCCCTGGATGTGTGTGCGCCTCTCTAGGCCTCAGTCTCCTCATCTGTGAAACGGGAACAGTGTCTTCTACTCCTATGTTACTGGAAGGAATTTACTACGACTGTGCATGCAAAAAAAAAAAAGTTAGCACAGTACCAGGCAATGGAATATTTCCCTCCTTTTTTCTGCACTTTACAGAAGGGGCTGCTGCGAGCTCGCTGAGACCTGCTGGTCCTCACTAGGAGGGGTGGGCATTGAGTATGGAGCAATCAGCAGAGACTGGGCAGTAAAGGACCATGGGTGCCAGGTCAACATCCAGGTCTTTCTTTACCTCATGGGCTGTGGGGTGCCAGGGAGGCAGTGAGAGAAGAGGTCAGGCTGCACCAGAAAGAGCACCCAGGCTCCTGGGTAGGGGATGCAAAACGGAGCCGGGCTCTGGGCCATCTGGAGTGATGTGTGCACAGTGCTGGTGATAGTGTGGACAGGCAGCAGCTAAGGATTGGTCTGATGCACCAAGGAGACTTGCCATCTGGCTCTGGATGTAAGGGGCAGGGGATGGGGTGCCCCGATAGCTCGGGATTGTGTAGACCCAGGACAGAGGAGGAGGTATGGAGGGTAATCCAGGACTGGCTATTCTGGGGGCCAGGGCGGGGCCCAAGAGATGGGGCTGGGGGTGGAGAGGGGGCATCGTCAGCCACCATGCAGGTGGAGAAGATGTCTGTGGGGCTGGGTGGGATGTCCCTTCTTGGAGGCTTCTTGGGCCCCACTCACCAGGTCACAGAACCTGGAGGGGGGTCATGGCCTGTGGCCAGGCCAGGCACTTCTGTTCTGTGCTGTACCCCTAGTGTCTGCACAGCTCCCTAGTAGGAGCACAAGAAATACTGCTAAATGGATGAGTGAGGGAATGAGTGAATGAATGAATGAATCAATCACTGACCCAACCTAAAGCAAGATACCAGAAATGGAACAGAGAGGTTGAGCAACATTTCCAGGGGCACAGACTATGTTCGAGGTGGAGCCAGGACAGCAAGTCCCCCAGCTGCTCACCATCCTTCCCTCCTTCCTGGATCTCAGACCCATGTCCCTCCGTGCCAGGCCTCCCCTCCTCCATCTCTCGTGGTCTAGGTCCCCATGTCCCCCCACTCACCTGTCGTCCTGGAAGCAGTGGGCAGCTGTTATCACCCAGCGGTCAGCGATGAGTGCCCCCCCGCAGATGTGTCGGCCTCGAATCTGGAGGCTGGCCTGCCAGGGCCACTCGCCCTCTGAAGATACGGCCCCGCCCACTATGCGGCCAGAAGGGCCCTGGAGGCCACAGTCTGGGGGCGCAGGGGGCGGTGGGGGAGGACAGGGACGGCCAGAAGCCAGTGAGGAATGGACACAGGCAGACAGAGAAGGGGAGGCAGGAAGGCCAAAGGAAAGATGAAGGGATGGGAGAGAATGAAGGAGAGGCAGGACCCAGGGCGGGTGCGGAGGAGAGACAGAAAGAGACAATGTGAGTTCTCCCTCAGCTCCCAGCGTGGGCCCCCTCCCTCCCACACTCCAGGGCCCCCAGGGGGACAGGGGCTTTTGCCCACCCGCCTGTTGGGGGCTCACCACAGTGCTGCTCGTCCGAGCCGTCCCGGCAGTCGGGCAGCCCATCACACTGCGGGTTGGGCTTCTTCACGCAGCTGCGGTCCTCACACTGGAAGGTGAATGTCCCACAAGGCACCCCTGGGGGAGAGGGGTGGGAGCAGGACACGGAGGGTGGGCCCCTGAGCCCCAGGGAGCCTCCAAAATGAGGCCCAGGGAAGATGGAGCCTGGAAGAGGCCAGGAGGAGACTGGGGAGGGGTCCCTTGAGCTCACTGAAGGGTACCCTGAGGTTCCTGAAAGGTCTCCTAAAGGCAGGACATATCTCTTCCCTGTGTCCCTTCACCCCCCTCAGACTGGCCTGTGGAGAGCAAGGCTGCATCTCCCCCACAGACTGCGCCTCCTGAGGTCACGCCTGCCACCCCAGGTGGAACCGAAGGCAGAACTGTTCCTCCACTGTCCATCGGCTCCCAAGAGCAGGGTTGTGCCTCTCCCATCAGTCTAAGGCTCCTCTCCGAGCCCGGCCTTCCTCCAGACCCTGGCCCCACCTAGCCGCCCACCTGCTCCTCACTGTCTTTGCCATAAAGAACTTTCTGCACCACCACCTGGTCTTGGCCTACTCTCCTTCCCTCCTGCCTATTTAAATCTTATCTCTCTGCAAGGCCAAGTTCAAAGTCCACCTCCTCTAGGAAGCTTTCCCTGCCTGATGTTCTCCTGCACTCCAGTCTTCCCATGCTACTGGACATGAAGTCCAGAAGGCATTGGGCCAGAGACAGTCACCCATCAGGTCTTCCTACTAGCAGATAATCCCAAAGCACAGGGACCACCTCTCTGGTGTCTTTTATTCCCACTCCCTCACTCTGCTCACCTATCACTGGGGTGTCTGTAGGTGTTGGATGGGTGGGTGGGGTGGATGGATGGATGGATGGATGGATGGATGGATGGATAAAACAATGGACACAGACAGGAGATTGGGCAGACCAAAAAATGGGTGGATTGATGGTCCAGTGGGGAGACTGACAAACAGAAGGATGGATAAATGAGTGGATATAAGGACCAACAGACAAACAGGTAGTTAGCTCAGTGGATGGATGCATACACGCATTCACAGATGGATGAAAGATGGAACGATGAACACAAAGACAGATGAACTGATAAATGGGTAGGTTGATGGCTCACTGGATAGGGAGACAGGTGGGTGGACAGGCAGTTGAATGGATGGATGAGTGGATGTATGAATTGATGGACAGATAGATGGTTGGGGAGACCATAAGATGGATGGATGGATGGATGGATGGATGGATGGATGGATGGATAAGCGTCCATTCAGATAGTTGGTGAGTCTTTGGACAAGAAGGCAGAAACCTCTGCTGAAGAAGCACGCAGGAAGTCTGGGCTGTCTGGCTAAGCCCATTATTTGGTTTCCCTCTAGAGAGCTGGTCATACCCACCCTACCTTCCTGGCAGTGCTCTTCGTCACTCCCATTGAGACAGTCAGGCTGCCGGTCACAGACTCTGGACAGTGAGATGCAGGTGCTGTCTTCTTGGCACTGGAATGTGGCTCTGCAAACTGCATGGGGACACACAGAGGAGGCAGGTGAGAGGAAGGCCGAGGAGCCAGGCTGGGACTTTGTGCTGCCTGTAGAACGTGTATTGTATTATATGCTGTGACTACAGATCTCTTTCTCAGCTACTTTACGTGCGAGTTTCATAGCAACCCTTGAGATACCCCATTTCATCAGTGGAAACAGAAATGAAATGACCTGTCCGAGGTCATCTGGCTGAGCCAGAACCTGAAGCCAGGTGCTCTGGTTCCAAATATGAGGCACATCTCCTCTCCTTCCTGCTTTTCTCTCCAAGGATTTAAAACTTGGTTGGATGGGGCTGTGGGAGGTTTGGGGAGATCAGACAAGAAAAGGCTGCCCTGATGGTGAATGTGGGGGCCAGAAGCAGGACTTAGAGGGAGAGGCGTTACTCTAAGACAGTCCTGACAGTCCCACCGGGGCCCCTGCTGCCAGGGCTGGGCAGTGGTGAGCATAACTCCAGTAAGAGTTGGCAGCTCTAGTCTGAACCCCTGAAGTGGAGGGGTGGAGATCCCACTCAAGGGAGGAAGACGCAAGATTCTCTCTGTGGCCACCCCAGGCTTGCCTTCCCCTCCCTGGTCCTCCCTCCACTCTGTTCCTTCTTGACAGCTGGCTGGGACAGATGGCCTGGTGGGGAGCAGCCCTGAGCTGGGAGTCAGGAGAACTGGGTCTCAGCTTGTCCCTGCTACTGCCCCAAACGGTGGTCCCGAGGGGGAGGTAGGACAAGGGAAGGATGGGACAGGCGGCTGCTCACCACAGTTTCTCTCATCCAGGCCGTTGGGACAGTCCTTGACCCCATCGCAGGCAGGCACACATAGTCCATTCACAGAGCAGAGGAACTCTCCAGGGCAGGCTGGACGGGGAGGGCGCCATCAGGACACGCGTCCTCATGCAGACAGGACGCATTTGTGTGCTCACACATGTACCCACATGTACACGCACCTGTATACATGGTGCATGTGGACAGACATGTTCGGGCACATGTACACAGCATGCACACATATGTGTGAGTGTGTATCCTTAGGAACACAGGTGACGGCCTTGCCAAGGACTCCTTTGTGTGTGGGCACACACAAAGCTGCAGGTATTGTGTACACTCGCACACACACATCCAGTCCTTTGGTCCAGCCTCTTGGTGCTTCCGGGGAAAGCTGCAGGGGCATCGGGGGTGCCCGCCCTGCCTCCCCAGGGCTGCCCATACTCACGATCCGACTGGTTGTATAAGCCGTAGTGCACCTGCACACCGGGCCCGGTGAGGGGGATCTGGGATGTGAAGTTGACGGTGATGCCGGCAGTGGCCACCACGGGGATCCTCTCGGCATAGGGCTGCAGGGTGCGCAGGCCACACAGCCTGGGGGTGACAGAGGCAGACTCAGGGCCCCATGGGCCAGCCTGAGGGAAGGGACAGCTTAGGTCTCTGCACACAGACAGGACAGGGGCAGAGCAGCCGGAGAGGAAGGGGGAGCTGCACCACCACCTTCACCTTCTCTGTCTTGATTTCTCCCTTGGGTGACCACTCACCCCGAGTCATCTTATAGAAATCAGCCTATGTCACTCCCCTGCTCAGAATCCTTCAGTGGTCTCCCCTGCCCTGCAGGATAAAATTCAAAGTCTGAATTCTCCTCCTGGTCACCTAGGAGCTGTGAGACTGGCAAGTCAGGGTCCTTCCCTGAGCCTCACTTTCAAATAAGGGAAATTATCATTTCTTTGTTGGCTCCCAATCTGACAGGACTTCAGCGTGTCAGCAGAGGCAGGAGTCTTTGCGGGTCTGCTGTGTGTAGGCAGGGAGGACGCTGCCCTTGGGCTCAGTGTCGGGGAGGAGGCAGCGGTGTGTCCTTCCCACTAAGGTGGGACCATTCCCCAACCAGGGGAGGCCCCTCACACCCTGCTGGATGCCCCCACCCCACCATGGTGCGCTTGTTCCCATCCAGCAGGTGGGAGAAGCCCTACAGAGGCGTGAAGTTCTTCCCAGAGAGCAGGTAGGAATCTTCCCATCTCCGGAGATGGAGGGCACAGGGGGTGCATCCCACCAGGCATCGGGGCACACTTGCCACCCAGAGCACGGGGGCACGCTTTCACCAAGTGGGTGCCACCCCCCCCCCGAGAGCGGCAGGCTGCTCTCCAGACAGCACCCGGGGCTCCCTCCCTCCCCGGGTGGGTCAGCCCCCTCACAGCGAAGGGAGCACCCTCCCAGAGCAAATAGGAACGCCTCTGCAGACCAGGGAAACACACCCAGGACACAGGTCAGAACATATGCAGTGAGAACTGAAAGTGCCCCCAGTAGAGAAGGTCGAGAAGGCAGAAGGAAGTCGAGAGAGCAGGTGGGAATGCCCCAAAGCATGATGGGAGCATCCCACAGCAGACACAAGAGCCCGCGGAGCCGGTCCCCTAATTCCCGGGGGCCAGGTACTTCCACGGAACTTGTGGAATATGGCAAGCACTTCCTAGTTCAATTAATTAGTCAGCGAGCTAATCAAACAAACAACTGAGGAAGGTCTGGGGTTGTCTTGTCTGCCCTCCCCCCCATTCTTGCCTCCAAACCAACAAACAGTCCTCCAGGTGCGCTCCGGGGACCATCGCAGCTCCAAGGTAAAAATTAGTTTCATAATAATGCTCAGGTAATATTTGCCTTTTTCACTCTCATTCTCTCACCAGGATATGATGGAATTTTCTAGAGACTACATAATGTGGGATGTGCCACCTGATTGAATGCAGACGCAGATGTGCATATCCAGCTCTGGCCTATTAGTCCAGTTTAAAAGAAAATTGTAAAAAGGTTAAGCGGTGATATTTTTCTTGCCAAATGGAAATATAATTAATTTTCTCTAAAATATGTTATTGACGTTTAAATTGCCATGGGCATATTTTAAATGAATTGATAAATGTTTTTACATTTTCTTAGTTTTAATGTCTACTACTGCAAACATAGATAATATAACCTGCATAAAAGCATTTTAGGGGGCACCTGGGTGGCTCAGTGGTTGAGTGTCCGCTTTCAGCACAGATCGTGATCCTGGGGTCCTGGGATCGAGTGCCGTATCGGGCTCCCCACAGGAGCCTGCTTCTCCCTCTGCGTGTGTCTCTGTGTCTCTCATGAATAATTAAATAAATAAACAAATAAATAAACAAACAAACAAACAAACAAATAAATAAATAAATAATTTTTTTAAAAAAAGCACTTTGGGGTGCTAAATAACTTTAAAGAGAATAAAGGGGTCCAGAGGTGAAAAGTTTTGAGAAGTCCTGCTCTACACCAGGATTCCTCCATCCTCCAGCCCAGGGGGACAAGACGAGGATGAGATGCCACTAGGGGGCACCCCCGGGCAGGCCTGGGCCCTCTCTGCCCTCTAAAACTTAAAGGACGCTGGAAGTTTTGTCTGTCAGTTTTTAAAGCAGATAAACAAATGTTATCGTGGCTTCCTGTCCTCTGAGAGTTTCCCTGAGGAGTGGACAGGGGAGCTAGGGGGCAGGAAATACTGGGCAGGGGGAGACGCACCGAGTACAACCCCGACCATGCTGAAGGTTTGGGGGCATGGGACACTGCCCGCAGAGTCATTGAGACCTTGCAGGGAAGAAGCCGGAGCCAGGTTGGAGAGCAGTGGGACATTTCAATCTAGAAGAATCTGAGGGCTGCGTGGTCACGCTGAGCTTTGGCCCGGGGCTCTGAGGTACCAGTGCAGGCTGACAGGACATTTTCTCTACTGGCGTCTGAGAGAAAGAAGTCCCAAATCAAGGGCATCTGGGTGGCTCAGCGGTTGAATGTCTGCCCATGGCTCAAGTCGTGATCCTGGGGTCCTGGGATCAAGTCCCACATTAGGCTCCCTGCATGGAGCCTGCTTCTCCCTCTGCCTGTATCTCTGCCTCTCTCTGTGTCTCTCACGGATAAATAAATAAAATCTTTAAAAAAACAACAATAACAACAATAAGTCCAGAATCAGCCCATGGCTCAGCCTGGGAACCTGCCTGGGCAGCATGTGGTTCTCACCTGGAGGCCCAAGGCAGGGGCTGGGGGCAGCATTCCTGGGCCAAGTCTCTCCACAACAATTCAAGGCAGAGGCTACAATCTAGTGACTCAGGCTGAGTCACCGAACTTAAAGATGGTCTGTTTAGTCTGTGCAGGGTTAAAATAATTTTTTTTTCAGGTTCAGTTGCCCACTAATTTCACATAATAATCTAGATTCTTGCTGCTTCTGAAAAACAAGCCCCAGAAACACTGGCTGGAAATAATCAGAGGCGGCCCGAATTAGGCAGAGCACGTGTGGCCCTGCTCAGCAGTCCCTCCCTCTCCCGCGCTCCCCCACACAGCCTGCCTCACAGGACTCTGCACCAGCGGGGGCCCTGTGTGCATCTGCATCTCTGGATCCTGCTGCAGAGCCTTCTGGGAGAGGGTATGCTTCCTCTGGCTAATTCCTCCCCATCTACCAAATGCCACCTCCTCCCCCACAGGCCCCCTCCGAGAGGCACCAGGAGTCTGAAGGCTGCAGCACCCACCTCACAGCTACAAAGTGCAGGGTCTGGAGGCACATTTTTTCACAGTGGCCGGCTTGCTTTCTCATCTCTATGGATTGGGGGTTTTTCCTTCCTGCCTCACCCAGACTGTAAGAAGGGACCCTATCAATCTTCTTGCATATCAGCAACTCCACACAGGGAGGAATTCAAGAAAGAGTGTATGGGTAGGTGGATGGATTGGTGGATGGATGAGTGAGGGAGTGGATGGAAAGGTAGGTGGGTGGATGGATGGCTGAATGGATGAAAATGTGGGTAGAAGGAAGGAAGGGTGAATGGATGGATAGATGGAAAGGTGGGTGGGTGGATGGATGGATGGACGGATAGATGATGGATGGATGGATGGATGGATGGATGGAAGGAAGGGTGGGTAGAAGGAAGGAAGGGTGAATGGATGGATAGATGGAAAGGTGGGTGGATGGGTGGATGGATGGATGGATGGATGGGAAGGTGGGTGGATGGAAGGAAGGAAGGAAGGGTGGGTGGGTGGGTGAGTGGATACATGGATGCACACATACACACACACACACACACATTCCCTTCCCCAGGACAGATTAGTGGGAACGAGGGTCAGAGAAGGCAAGCACTAAAGAAGGGGTGCCAGAGCACTGGACCTAAAGTCCAGAGCTGAGTTGGAGGTCTGCTTTGCCACATGAATCAGCCGTGTGACTTTGGGCACGTCGATGTCAGCAAGCTTCAGTTTTCATGTCTGTAAAACGGGGGTGATAATATCTCCCTTGTAGGATGTTTTAAGGAGATGAGAAAATTACTTCCCTGAAAGCAAACCGCTGACACTATTGGGCTATGAGCTCATCTAGGGCAGCAGCAGGAGCTGTGCCCACCACTTCCCCAGCACCCAGCCAGCACCAGGGTCACACACCCAGCCTGACCAGGAACCCCTGTGGCTGCAGGCAGTGCGGTGGGCCACCCATGGGCCCAGAGGAGCAGAAGAGCTGCCCCATGGCCAGGCCAGAGGGGGCTCCAGCAGGCCTAAGGAGCCAGTGGTTCTGCTGTCCCATCAGAGGGAGGCCAGGGGAAATGATTGGGCAGATCACAAGAAATGTGACATCACAGGAGAGGAAGCTGGCAGGAGGCAGATTCCCCGAAAGGGGGAAGCCTGTGTCATGGTGACGCCCAGCCAGAGTGGGTTCTGCGAAACCAAGCGGCTGGTGGCCAATCTTACTAGGCCAGGTCCCTCCGCCGCCTCCAGGCCAGGCCTTGGCCATGGGCACTGGGAGAAGCTGGACAGAAAGCAGGGAGGTGGGGAAGGGCAGAAAGGGCTCTGAGGGGCAAGGCCACAGCCCGAGGGTGCCCAGCCCGCGAGGGAGCCCTGGGCCGCCTTCCCTTATCACTGTGCTGACACCTGCGGGGCAAGTCACCTTCCCCCGCAGCCCACCCTCTAGTGCTCCTTATCCGTGGCCATTCTGGGTCCAAGAACCGCGCCTCCCCCTCCCTGCACACCCTGTGCCTGCAAATCAACACTGTTTCCCAGACCTCTCATATCTTTGCCACCCACACAAGCAAATTTTCCAACAAATGCTCATTCAAAGAATTTCCCAGCATCTACACTGGATGATCATTATCAAAAGAGATCATAACTAAAGGAAATGGTTTGTCCGGTGCTTCTGATTTGGAGGTACACCTCTGCCTTCCCTTCCACGCTCAGACATGGGCAGCAGCCTCGGGGCAGGCCTGGGGACCAGAGTCTCCACTGAGGGACCCGGATCCTTAACGGAAGTCTCAGAAGATAAAGATGGGACTCCCCAGGCCGTTCTCAGAAGCTGCAGGAGCCACAGAAGCTGTCAGTCTTCTCACCAGGAAGTCAGTGGATTGGTCAGGAGTGCTGTGGCCAAGAGAGGGAACAGCAGGCCAAGCTGCTCAGAGGCTCTTCAGGAAGAATCCACACGAGAGTGAGCACTTATGGGTGCACACATACGTGCTTGGACTTGTGCACACAGGCACAGGCGTACCCGCACATGCCCTGGATCCCACCGTTTTGCTCAACCCTGGCTTCTCCATTTGCCTTCTGGGTGACTTTGTGCAAATGACTTTGCCTCTCTGTGCCTTGGGTTCCTCACTGGCCAGTGAAGATGGTAGGGAGGCCTGTTCCTCACCAAGTTGTTGAGGGTGAAAGAAATGGCACCACAAAGCCCTCAGCTTGGTGCCAGCTCGGTGCCTGCCTGGCACAGCATTCAGAGCCGGTTGTTAATTTGTGATTGGTGCCTCCTGGAGCTGTGCTCTGTCTGGGCCTGCAGGAGCCAGCGTCCTCCACCCATGATCTCACCTAGTCTTGCCTGAGTGGGGGTCTGGTCCATGGCCGTTTTTCAGATGAGCTGCCTAAGGCTGGGAGAGGTGAGCCCTTGCCTCGCAGGAAAGAGAGGAGCCAGGATTCGAACCTTGATCTGTCTGGCTTTGGCTCTTTGGAATGGCATTTCAATAGGAACTAATAAACACAACCTATTTGGGAGACAGCTTTCTGATGTGCAAATGATAAAAGGTTGGGGCCTGGGGCTGGCCTAACCCTTCTGTTTTATACATGGGGAAGGTGGTATATCCAGGGTCACATGTAGAAACCAGTGTCTAGACTCCCCTGAACACATCTCCAGCTCGCCATGCATCACAGGGAGGCTTGGGACGAGAGAGAAGAGAGACAGGAGACCTGCACCCTGACAGACCGCCTCTCCCTGCCCCATCCACCACCTGGCTGGTGGGAAATCCCTCCGAAAGGTGAAAGGCCAGCAAAGAAGTTCTTAGGCATAAGAAGTTCTTAGGCATCCCAGGCCTCAGTTTCCCCTCCTGTACAATGGGTGAGGATTGGGTCCATGGCCAGTCCAGCCCATACTTTCCATAGCCCAGTGGTGCTTTGAGACACTGGGAGGGAGCCCCCTGCAACCCCACTAGAACCTGCCATGGTGCCTGAAATCCCACCATCACAGCATCATTCCTCTTAATTAGGACCCTCCTCAACTGTGACCCACATTTAAAATCCAAGGGTAGCTCAGGAAGTCCCTGGAACCAGGGCCCATAGCTTTGCCCGACCCTTCCCGGCTGTGTCATGGAGAGAGAAGGCCCTCCACAGGGAGCATGGCGTGACCATCATCCAAGCCCCTGGCTGGCAGTGGGTGTGGGAGAGGCTCTGACTACGGGCCTGTTGGGGCTCCACCTAATTGTGCTGAGCCTCGACCCCCTTTCTAGGAAATGGGATGATGATGCCTTTGACATCACAGGCTGGTGACCCGGCTCCTGGCAAATGGAATAGCTGTGTGGGTGCGGGGGGTAAGGGCAGGAGCGCCAGACCCAGGGCCCTCCTGCCCCTTCCCAGAGGAGACAGCGGATTCAGCTCTGGGGTTGGGGGCTGGGGCAGGAAAACACATCATCACCATTCGAACAAGTGTGATGAAATGTGGGCCATGGGCCACTCCTATGGTCATTCTGTGGACTCCTGATGCTGAGTGGGGAGCCCAGCCGGCCTCAGTCAGTGCAGGCCCCAGGCGGGTAGCAAGGGGGTCTCCAGGGAGCTCCCTGAGCATCCCTGAGGATGAAGGTAGCGATGCCCAGAAACGCCACCCACATGCTAGTAGGGGTGGGACAAGATGCCTTTTCTTTCCCAAACAGCACAGGCCTGGGGTCACACCGTCTTCCATCACCCCGCAAACAGCATGGGTCTGGAGTCACACCATCTCCCATTATCTGATGAAAGGCACTGGCTTGGAGTCACACCATCTCTCATCACCCCACAAACAGCCCAGGCCTGACACCATCTGCTGTCACCACCGAGCATCACAAGCCTGAGGTCACACCACAGGCATTTCTTCCTTTCCCTTTCAATCACAATCCCTGATAAATTGCAAACGTCCTGGGAAGCATGATGGCAATGGCGAGTTAATGAGCATTGTCAAGTCCCGTCACCTATTGTCTGAATAGGATCAATCAACAAACAAGCAAAGTCCCCATTGGTGAATGTGGACCCCAGCCCCAGAACCCAAGAATTCCAGACTCCTGGAATCTTCCAACTTTAGTGTATTGGAATCTTGGAGATGCAAAATCTGTGAAATCAAGAACTTTGCATATTAGAACCCCAGCCTCTTGGACCCCCGGGATTTTGGGGATGGAAGGGAGGGCAGAGGCCCGACCTGCTATAAGTTGCAGAAGCTTCTCTTCAGCATCCTTGGACCCCCCGCCAGCTCTGCAAGGCTACTTCAAGATCACACTTCTCTCCCCAAACCTCTGTCCCCCCCCCCACAATGTTCTCCCTCTATGCCTTTGTCTGGCCCTCCTCTCTCTAACTTCCATTCCAGCACCTCCTCTCTCCCTAGGGGATGCTCCCACCCAGCGCTTAGACATGGGTCCCCTCCCATCATAAGGGTCCCCTCCCCTGAATGTCCCAGGTCACCCCCCTCTCGCCAGACAGAGGAGCGCACCACCTCCATTCCTCACCTCACTCCTTGCAGTGGTCAGGCCCCCAGTGAGCCCAGGGTTGCCAGCCCCAGGGGACATGTACCAGGCCTTCTCCTACTGACCAAACTGCAGCCCCCGCTGACCCATGGACCACCCTCGTGTGGCCTGGCCCCCTGCATCCTGTCCCACTCCTTGGAGGGACTCACTTCTTCCTTAGAAACTTTGTCACCAGGGGGCAAGGGCAGGACATATGGCAGGGCAAGCATCCCCCAGTGATGTGGGTGATATGGGGCTACCCTGGTTACCGCCCATCCCTGTGGAAAGGGTCAGATTAGCAAAAGTGGCCTCGGCTCTGGCCGTGCAGCTTTGCAGCCGGGAAGCCACTTGACAGTGGTCAACAGCCCAGAGTGGCAGAAGGGAAGACAGGCCTCAGATGGCACGGGGATGGGCTTCGGGGAAGGCGCTCTCGCACTGCCGAGTCCTGTGGCTCTTGCACCATCTCATTTATGGATCTGGGGTGCCAGACCGTGGGGTGACAGCACCCAAGGAAGTGAAGCATTTCACTAGAACTAGAACCAGTATCCAAGGTGGCTGAGACCTTTGGGTGGCAGGAGAGGAGGCGGGGATGGGGGTGGGGGCCAGGACAAGGAATGGGTCAAGGGGTGGGGGCTCAGGCCTGAGCACCTGGCCTGTACTCTTGCTCGGCTGCCCGTCTGAGGTCTGGGACTTGGGCTCCCAGGGTTGGTAACTGTGGGAGAGGAAGGGGGCCCTGGGGGTTGGGTACCTCCGGTTCTGGATTGTCCACTGTCCCTGGGTGCATGGCAGGTCATACTTCTGCCTCCGCAGAGCATAGGCGTCAAACCAGAGGGCCAAGCCATAGTCCAGAGAGGGCACCTGGAACAGAGGAGCTGGTCACCAAGTGGTCTGTAGGCTGTGGCTGGGGTGGTGGCCCCACTTCCCAGGACGACACCGGGAGGAGGGTCAGGAGTCACACCGTCCAGCTGGGGCTGAAGTTTGCCAGTCACCCAAAAAACAGGCATTACTGTGGCCCACAAAGGCAGACCTTGACCGCACCTGTCACCCCCCTTCCAGAGGGATCTGCACCCAGGGCTCAGCCTGGGGGCGCTCCAGCAGAGGCATGACAGTGGTCCCCTCCCAGCCAGGGCCCCCTGAGGTCCCATAGGGTGTTCTGGGCAGGGGGCAGGCAGGTGGCAGGGTATGGGGCTCACCGTGAGGTGCCAGGAGCAGTGGGTGCTGGGCGAGTAGTAGCTGGGGAAGTAAGGCGTGCTGAGGACGCCCTGTGGTTCCAGACGGCCCTCCAGGGTCAGGTTCACCTCACAAGCTGGGGGCCAAGAACAGCTGTTACACAGGGTCCCCTGGGCCCCCCCCCACTGCCCCTCCCAGCAGGTAACCCCACCGCCCTCCTGCCATTGAACAGTAGAAGTTAGTGGTTGAGTGTGACCTTGGGCCTCGGTTTCTCCATCTGTAATGTAAGGACAGAAATAGCCCACACCTCGCAGGCCAGTCAAGCAGATGAAATAGAAAATGCTCGAACAGCCTGCCATGTAGTAGTACGTGCTCAATAAATGTTGGCCGTTGACACTGGCTGCACTGACCGTTTACTACACAGGTTCACAACTGTGGGAGCCTCGTAGTTACGGGGGCTGGGGGAGGGAGAAGCACCCCCATCTCAAAGATGAGGTTCAGAGAAGAGGCCACACAGGAAGAGGGTGAGGTCAGAGGATGCTCAGCTGGCTGCCGCCTCTCCCTGGAGTCAGGGTCCCCTTGATCCCGTGTCCCCCGAGCTGGGTGGGTGAGTCCCACCAAAGCAGAGCCTGCTCTGGCACCTCCTCAGCCCCAGCCCCCCCCCCCCAGAGGGCTGCCAGAACCAGCAGGAGCAGCAGGGGACCTGGGCCACTGCCAGGAGACCTCTGGGGTCAACAGCAGGAGAGGGAGTGAGGCGGGAAGAGGCAGATTGCCAGGGGACGTGGGGGAAGCAGTGGTTTGTGGTCTCCTGCCAACTCTGGGACCTGCAAGGTTTGCTTGGCTCATCCAGGCCCAAGGACAGCCAGAGCCTGAATGGGTGGGGGTGGGGGTTCTCCCTGAGAAAGGGGTTCGGGGGATCAGAGCAGGAGGACAGTGGCGAGGCCAGCGGGCAGCCTGGTGTGTCATTCCTGCAAATGCTGTGAGTAGCTCTCCCTGAGCTGGGGGCCATCGCCAGGGAGACCTGTGGGGTTCACCTTCAGTGGGAGAGGATGGTCTGGGGGTGAATCTGGGGTTCTCAGGTCTGTGGTCAGGAGACCTCAGGCTGGGGCAGAGGGAAGAGGATCAGGGGAGGAGCCAGGAGAGGAGACACGGGTCCAGGATGGGGACAGACCAGACAAACAGGAATATGGCAGGAGAGAGAATGAGGGAGAGGGCCAGGCCAGGGAGGGTAGGAGAGGGAGGTAGAAGGTGGGGACATGGAGTGAGAACAGAGGACAGGAGAGAGGGGCCAAGGGCGTGGGAGGGTGGAGAGCCGAGGAGCTTCCGGAACCTTCCCTCTGCCCCCATCCCACCCCCAACTACAGCAAAGAAGGAGAAGGTCCTGCTGGCCGGCCCCCCAGGGTTCTGTGGCGGTGCCCCTCCCATCCCTAGGGACCCCTGGCCCCTCACCCTGGAAGGCCACGGGCTGCACGGAAAGAACAAAAGGGTCGTAGTAGCTGTGCAGACCCTTCTTCCAGACCACAGCCATGACGGCCCCGGATGCCAGGACCTCCACCACGGGCTCCTGGCGACTGCAGCCGTACACCCTGGAGGGACAGAGAGAGGTGGTCAGGGCGGGTGGGGCCTGGGAAGGGGCTCTGCGGCCGGCCTGCTGTGCGTCTGCGCGTGGGCTTCCGACCCTCTCTGGCCCAGGAAGCCGGAGGCCCTGTAAGGAAGGTTCGGGCCAGCTCCTCAGGGGAGACAGGCTAGGATGTGCCAGCTGACTCAGCCTGTCCCTCAGCGCCTGCCCCACCACCCCTGTGCCCGGATGCCTGTGCCCCCCGAGTGCCCAGCCTCTACCCTGCAGGGAGGTGAAGTTTCGTGGTTAAGGGACCTGAGGTCACCTGCAATGGACACTTCAGGCTTTCATCTTGGGGTTTCTTTTCTCTTCCTTACTTAGCAGCAGAGCCTGTGCTGAGACTAAAACGTCCCCCAATCTCCCAGGGCGTGGAGCCCAGAAAACAGACCACGTGGTCAAAGTTGGTTGAGGGCCCTTCTGCTCTGTCTCCTTATCACCACTGAAGACCCCCTCGTGACTCTGGGTGCAAGGCTGAGGATCCCCTGATCATGTCTGAGCCATCATTTTAGACCTCCCAAAGATCTGAGACGGGATGAGCTGCCTGGGTGCCACAGTGAGCCCGGTCCCACCCCCCAACAACTGGCTGGGGTGTGTGTGTGTGTGTGTGTGTGTGCGTGTGCGTGTGTGTGTGTGTGTGTGTGTGTGGTCAGGGGGTGGGGTCCTTGAAGAAGCCCCAGGGGAAGCCTGTAAGCATCCCCACCGTCATCGGGCCTAGAAATCAGATGGTGTGTAGCTTCTCTGCGCTTCCCAGAGCCCTCCAGGAACCCACCCATGCACACCCCAGATTGAGGTCACCACGTCAGGGGTGTTGCAAATGAGCATGCAGCCTCAGAGCCAGGAGTTCAGAGACACCCGGGAGGGGGGCAGCGCTGGGGAGGACCTCGTCCCCACTCACCCTCAAGGGCTGCCCTTGCTCTGAACACACAGATCCCACCCTGGCTCCTGCCTGGAAGCTGAGCCAGCCCCAGCAGCACAGAGAAGGCAGGCAGCAATCCTCAAGTCCCATGTCCTAAAGCCCTGCTCCTCTGCTTGAGAACTTTCAGTTACGTTCCCCACTTTCCAAGTATTACAGTTCAAAGTGCTCCTGGCATTCAATGCCCTTTGTGACCTGGCCCCAACTAGACTATATGTAATCATAGTAATAACGGAAAGCAGCTCCTGGATATTTAATGGGTACATTTAACATGTACATAACATCCATCATCCGTAAAAATGGATGGCATCACTCAGTGTGAGAATCTTGGCACAAATGGTTTGATTATTTATTTGCATAAGCAGACTCCATGCCCAGCGTGGGGCCCAGCATGAGGCCTGAACTCACGACCCTGAGGTTAAGACCTGAGCTGAGGGCAGCCCAAGTGGCTCAGCGGTTTAGCGCCGCCTTCATCAGGGCATGATTCTGGAGACCCGGGATCGAGTCCTGTGTCGGGCTCCCTGCAGGGAGCCTGCTTCTCCCTCTGCCAGTGTCTCTGCCTCTCTCTCTGTGTCTCTCATCAATCAATAAATAAAATCTTAAAAAAAAAAAACAAAAAACCTGAGCTGAGATCAAGAGTTGGACCCTTCACCAACTGAGCCCCCCAGGCACCCCCCAGATGGTTTGGTTTAAATCCTCACCATAACCCTGCATGGTGGGTGTGATTGTGCACCCATTTTACAAGTGAGGAAACCAAGGCTCGAGGAGGCAGAGACTTGCTGTAGGTTATGCAGCTAAGAAGCAACCGAGCAGGGGGTTGGAAGTCTGGGGCTGCCAGACTCTGAAGCATTCTAACAAGCCATGTTGCCTCCCAGAGCTGACCCGAGGGGTAGTCTAGTACAACTGCTTTGTTACAGATGGGGAAACTGAGGCTCAGGGAGGGAAGCGGGCCTGCCCACAGTACATAGCCATCTCCAGCCTCCTTTCTGCTTCTCTGCAGGCTAAGCCTTGCTGTCTCTCAGAAACCAGCGTCATACCGCCTCTTCCCTCCCACCGTCCCGGGACTCACGAGGTGATGAGCCTCCTCTCCAGGGGCCCAGCCACGTCGTACATGGCCAGTCGGTCCCGGCACTCGGCCAGCGTCCACTCGAGCCGGAGTTTGAGCATGAGATCCTTGGGGCCCTGTAGGTGCCACAGGCAGCTGGAGGCCAGGTGATCGGGCCCCTTCAGCCGGAGGACCTGGCCCTGGCCCACGTAGCTGTAGCGGTAGCAGCCTGGAGGAGGGAGAGGGACAGGCCCCCTGACCCCTGTTAGCCAGGAGGAGACCCGGGGGGCCAGCTGGTGCTCACCTGCGTGGGGGTGGTGCAGGGAGAGCAGCTGGATGGGGATCAGCCCAGAGGTGCTATGTCCCATCCCTCCGTGTCCTGCTGGGTTCCTTCTTGTCTCCTCAATCATTCATTCATTCATTCATTCATTCATTCATTCATTCAGCACTCACTGAGTTCCCTATGCCAGAGGAGGGCCAGAGAAAGGTCCAGTCGCTGCCTGGGAGTGTCAAGAACAGCGAGGACAGATACAGAGCCCAGCGGTAGTAGCTTAGCTCAGGCAGTGAGGACCCCAAGCCTGGCGGTAGGGCAGGGAAGACCTAGGGGGTGGGGTGCAGGGTCGCAGTGTGAGCAAAGGGCCGGGGGCCAGGGTGGAGTTTGAGGCCAGAGAGCAAGCTGCAGAAGGGAGCCAGGGCCCAGATCACGCCCAGAAGAGGTGCTTTCTCCAGCGGCCACGGAGTGTTAGGTAGGGCTGGGACGTGGCCGGCTTGGGTCACAGACACCTCTGAGGAGGCTGGGCTCAACCACTGAGCCACCCAGGTGCCCCTTGTTGCTGTGATTGTCCCTGTTTACAGACCTGGGCCAGACAGACCCGGGCTCACCGCATCCTTCCCCGGGCCTTGGAGAATGAGGGCCATGAAGCCAGCCTCGCAGGGGGTCACATGCTTGGGGATGACGCATGCTTGCGTGCCCAGCATAGAACCTCACTCTAAGTAGGTGCTCAGTGCGCGGAGTGACTGCTCTCTAGGTGGGTGTGGGGAGAGCCAGGGGGTGGAGCTGGGAAGCAAGCGCTGAGACCTGTCACCCTTCGGCTGGCCCCCATTGAGGCTCAGATAGAGCCAGTCTCGTGGGCCTGCCCTCACTCCTCCCTTCACGCCTCCTTCTCCAGCGGCACCCACGCTCAGCCGCACCTCCTGAGCCATCAACTAGGAAAGCTGCTCAGCTGTTGCTGATCATTTCTAGTCTTTAAATTTTGCTCCAAGTTGATGCTTCACTTTTGCCATTCTATTTATTTATTTATTTATTTATTTATTTATTTATTTATTTATTTATTTATTTTTAGGCTAATTAAGCAGAGAGGTATGTGCTGGTCGGTCTCTGCTGATAATCAGAAAGATCTCTGTTGACCTGTTATCTTTGGTCACTGGGAGAAAGTATGTGAACACTCCTGGTGCCTTCTCCTCGCCTGGCCTTTGCTCACGCTGTTCCCTCTGCCCAGAGAGCCTCTTCCTCTTCTCCATCTGACAGATTCCTACCCCCTTCGCATGCCTGAGTCTGCCCCCTGGCTCCCATGAAGGCAGCCAGGACCGCCCCCCCTCCCCCGCCCACCTCCCGTAGTCAGGAGAAACTTTTCCTTCCCCCTAGAGGCAGGTCCCTTCCTCTGCTTTGGATTGTGGCCCCTGGTGTCCACCTCCATCCCCGGAGCAGCATAATTCCCCTTCTCCGCTGCCCCTGGGAGCTCTATTCTAGCTCTGGCACTTGGTGTTTTGAGATGCTGTTTATTTGTCTGTCTCTCTCATGGGCTCAGAGCTCCTCTGAGGGCAGGGGTGAGGACACGGTCATCTTGTGTCCCCAGAGCAGGCATGGGGGCTGGCATGGGGGAAAAGCTCACAAGGCCTGTATAAAGGATTTGAACTGTCAACCCCCCCCCCCATTGGACGCTGTGCTCCTGGAGGGCAGGGACTCTAGACTGTGCACCGAACCACGTGAAGACAAGTACAAAGCAACTGCCAGAAACTTGGGGACGAACGGGCAGCCAGCAGAGGCAAGGACAGCCAAAAGGCCCATCTCGGACCAACAGTCAGGACGATGTGGGCACCACCAGTGCAGCATCAGATGACAGATGGTAGGTAGGTAGACAGATACCTAGATCAGCTTCTCACTCTCCTATTCTACTGGCTTCCTCAATAATAAGTGTTATACTATATATTGGCAAGTTGAATTTAAATTTTAAAAAAGGAAGGGATGCCTGGGTGGCTGAGCAGTTGAGCATCTGCCTTTGGCTCAGGTCGTGATCCCAGAGTCCCGGGATCGAGTCCCACATCAGGCTGCCCTCAGGGAGCCTGATTCTCCCTCTGCCTGTGTCTCTGCCTCTCTCTCTGTCTCTCATAATAAATAAATAAATAAATAAATAAATAAAATAAAATCTTTTTAAAAAAGGAAAAAAATAAGTTAAATAAATCTTTGATGTGTGCTCACTACAGTTTTGCTTGAGAATTTCAGCTATTTGAAAATTGTACTTTGACCTCATCGCCTCCATCCACCAAGGAAGTAAGCATTTGACTGGCCAGAAGATAAGAGAGGGCATAACAAGGATTCAAATTCTGCCTCCCTCACTGCGAGGTAGCCGATGCCCTCAGCCTGGCCTCAGCTCTGGGTAGAAGCTCTAGGTAGTATAAGAGGAATCTGAGAATTCAAGAGCTCAGGATGACAGGGTACAGTAGCACAAGTGGTACACTGCACAACTAAGGAGTCTCCAGCCCCACAACTACAATGTGGACAGCGCTCCCTGGCACTGGCACTGAGCAGCAGCACGGTGGCCCTGCTGGTACTTTGCTTCCCAGGGTGCAGGAGGAAGCCCGTGGAACCTCTGGGAGGGAAGCCAGGTGACTCTGGTTATAAGGGTAGGGGTAGGAGGAGGGGCAGATGAGCCTGGTGAAGAAGGGGAAGGAACATGTGAAGGGAATATCCCTGAATGTGACAGGAGTATCTCCAAGAGACCAAGTTTACAGGCAAAGGGACCGATACACTTCGGCCTGGCAAGATGATTTTCTACCATCAGTGGAAACTAGCTTGTGAGCTAATTGTGTTCAGGAATAAAAAAAGCAGAGTCACATTTATGTGCACCTAAATGTGCTACTCACTCTCACACCCCACACAGGCAACGTGCGCACACATGCACACACACATGCACGTGCAATACCTCCCCCCCACCTGCTCAGGACTCATCACCAAGTCTGCCATGGCATCCCCTGGGTTCCTTGGGGTCACTGCTCCCTGCACCCCCGAAAGCCTTGGGGTCCCCTGACACTTGACCAAGCCAAGCAAAACAGCAACTCAAAAGGAAGTGGAGAGGAGAAACCAAAGAGCATACCCAGCGTGGCATTCAGGGCAACTATGTCTTTCACGCTGGCTTCTGTTAAAAGGAAAGGAACAAACAAATAAACAAAGACCGAAAGTAAATAAAGATAACAAAATAAAAACATGAAAATAAAAATCGAAGAGGCCATCTGAGCCAGCCTGACTGAGGTTTACCCTGAGCGCTGACCCCTCAAGGCCCGGCCCCTGAGATCACCCAGCCCTGGCAGGCGGCCTGCAGCACCCGGGCCAGACTGTCCCACGTCCCCCTCCCCGGTACTGACCCAGGATCACCAGGCCCTCGGGGTCCACCTCGTACTCGGCCCTGTAGGGGGCGGGGGCCGAGCTGTTGGCCGTGGACAGCAGCTCCTCCACCAGCAGCGCCCGCACCACCTCGGGACTCAGCATCGGCCGGCGGTGCTCGGGGATTTGGAGGATGAACCAGAAGAAGCAGGTGAGAGGCCCCTCTCTAAGGCAGACAGACGTGAGAGGGGTGGGAGGGGGCCCAAACTCGTGGCCCTGCCCTCCCCTCTGCTCTGGGGAGAGACCACAAGTACGGCCCGCTTACTACCTCCCAGGCACTGCTGCCACCTTCACCTGGAAGCCTCCTAACACCCCCCCAGGTGTTCTCTACCTCCCCATGTCACGGGCAGGGACCGAAGCACAGGCGGTTAGGGGTATGCCACCGACCAGAGACAGATATGTGTGGCACAGCTGGGTCATCCCTGCTCCCACTCCAACCATGGCCTCACCCAATACGCTCCAGGCTCAAGCACGCTGTGGCCACTACCCCATCCTTGCGCCCATTCTACAGGTGAGGAAACCAAGCTCAGCAAAGAGAGGTCACACACAGGCAGCTGAGTTGCCCATCCATGCCTGAGTTTCCCCATTTTAAAAAAGGTCATTGCATCTGAAGCCTCTAGCATCCCCTCCTATTCTTTGAGTCTAAGGTTCTAGTGAGGGCCAGCTGGGGGGCCAGGGCGACTCACCCGAAGGAGTAGACTGAGCTGGAGTTGTAGTAAGTACCCAGGCGGGTGCTGGTGATGAGCTCCTTGAGCTAAAAGGAGGGGATACGGATACAAGAGCCTGCTGTGACCCTCTGCAGAAACCCCTTCTTCCCTTGGGGTGCCCTTTGCTCCTCCCTGAGCCCTACAGGAGGAGGAACCTACAGGGTAGAGAGGCTTGTCCCTGTCCCCCCGGAAGCGGTAGCCATGCAGGAAAACAAACCTCACCCCCAATACCTTCCTTTCCCCATCGACCTAGGCCTTGCCCCCCAGCACTGCCCCCTCCACCAGCTCTGGCCTACACCACACCACCAACGGCTTCTCTCCCTCTGCTCAAAAGTCACCCCTCTCTTAACCATAGGAGACAAACGGGGGCCTGCTGTAGGGGAGGGGAGTGGGGGGACAGGGTAACTGGGTGACAGGCATTAAGGGAGGGCATGTGATGGGATGCCCAGCACACTGGGTGTTCTGTAGGACTGACGAATCACTGACCTCTGCCCTGAAACTAACAATACACTGTTAGTTAATTGAATTTAAATTTTTAAAAAGGGGAAAAAATTGTGTAATATTAGAAAAAAAAGGGGACACCTCAGTGGCTCAACAGTTGAGCATCTGCCTTCAGCCCAGGGTGTGATACTGGAGACCCCGGATCGAGTCCCACGTAGGACTCCCTGCATGGGGCCTGCTTCTCCCTCTGCCTGTGTCTCTGCCTCTCCCCCTCTCTGTGTCTCTCATGAACAAATAAATAAAATCTTTAAAAAAAAAAAGAAAGAAAAAGAAAAGGAAAGTCGCCCTGAGCTCTGGAAAGCCCCACTAGGCTCCGGAGTCTGCTCCCCACCCCCAGCCAGCAGCCACGGGAGCTGGGCCGGGCAGTTTGGGCACCTGCTCCAGGCCGGTGCTGAGGACAGGAGGGGCAGCAGGACTGTATGCCTGCAAAGCGCTTTGCATGGGGCAGAAACCGGCACCCCACAACCCTCTGGGCAGGCACCGCTTTCATCCGCCTTATAGAGGAGGGAAGAGAGCCCTGGGCGGGTCCCCCAATAGCAAGTCCTGAGATGAGGCCGTGGGAGAGTGGTTTGTTCACGGGCAATTCTGGAGAGCTCTGGCGGGAGGTGAGGCAGGCGGGCTAGCAGGGGCACCGCCAAGGTGGCTGTGAAGGGGCAGCAGGGCTGCGGGCGTGGAGGCAGAGGCCAACACAGAGCCCTGGGCGACGGTGGGGCATCCTCAGGACTGTCCCCGCACCAAGGCCGAGGGAGCCGGGGTATTAAGCCGCCCAGGGGTGGTTCCTAGGAATAGCGACCCCTCAGTGCTTCTGGTCTACCCTACTGGGCGGGGTGCAGACCCACAGCCAAAGGGTGGAAGGTGCTGGAGACCAGAGGCCATCCCCAGGGCAGGAAACCACTGCCGGGGTCGGGAGGACCTGGGGGTGGGTCCTGACAGGGTCCCTGCACTGCCCTGTCTCCCCGCCACACCTCCCTGCTTATGCTGTAAGGGGCACAATCAGGATTAATCCGCGTATATTGGACCCAGAGCCCGCTGACTGTCCCACCACCCTGTCCCATGTCCCTCTCCGCCATGCCTGGAACGGGGCTCTGCTCCCAGGGCGTGCTCTGAAGGGACTGACCAACCGGCTTGGCGTGATCAGGGCCCTCCCCACGCCCCCCGCCCCATCCATCCCCTCCAATCCCCGTGGTCCTTCCCTACCATCTTCTGGGCTTTGGCAGTTTCGCTGCGGAAGGCACTGGACTCCCGGCGGGCGAGGTCCTGGGAGAAGTGGCGGTTGAGCACGCGCACGCTGCCTGAGTACACCTGGCTGACGGTGACCTCCGCCTTGTACCCTGCCCAGGACGAAACCGACAGGGTCAACCCACAGGGGAGCTCCTGTCTCCCCCACACCTTCTCCTGCCACCCAAACCCTCGGCTCAGCCTCCAGCATCGTGGGCTCCGAGGCACCACCACCGTCGTCGCTGTCATTGTCATGTCACCCCATGTATTTGGTGACAGTGAGGAAGGAGGCCCATAGACGGGATGGTGTCTTGAAGGCTCCCAGGCAAAGGCTGATGCAATAATCAGTCCAGGATACAGAGGACACAAAAGCTGGGAGACCCACATGGCCTCGAAGGTCAAGTTTGTGGGATAGCACCTCTGTGCACCCTTCCATTCCCCAGGGCGTCCTGGCCACACCTACTGTGGGGGTACGCTAGTAAACCTAGACCTCTGCGTCTCCCCCTGCGGAGCTGCCAGTGGCGGGAAGACGGGCATTACTCCAAGCATCATCCCTCAGGGCACACAGGGTCCATCTGGGAGGAGTGACTTCAACAGGATGCCCAAGGTACAACTGAAGACACATCACAAAGAAATTGGCCCTGGGCCAGGGTGACACCCCCTCGCCCCCCCCCCCCAATAGGAGAGTTGGAGCATCAGCTGTAAAGAGAGGAGGGAGGGAAGTACCTTCAGGGCAAAGGGAACAGCAAATGCAAAGGCCCTGAGGCAGAGGGATCATGGTAAAGACGAGCTAGAACCTCTTTGGCTGGAGGAATCAGGTAAGGGGAGAGGCTACAAGAGAGGCTGGGACCTCAGCAGGGCAGGATTTGGGTCTTTACCGATGCACAAAGGAAACCACGAAGGGTTTGAAGTCAGGGGTGATGTCATCAGATTTCCACTTTGTAAAGACCGTTTAGGCTGATATGAGGAGACTAGATTCATAGCCCCAGGCTTGTGCCCCTATTCATTCGTTTATGCAGTCATCCCACAAGTGCTACTTGAGGACCTACTGTGTTAGGGACTGGCCTAAAGTACTCAGGAATACATCAGTGTAACCATGAATAAAATAATAAAGGATAAAGCCTTGCCCTTAAGAGCTTGTAGTTGACTGAGTCAGACAATTAACAAGCAGAGCAAAGAAAAAATTAGAGGTGCGGGTGCTGTGAAAGTCAGGGAGGCGGGCTGCAGCACAGATGCCAGGGAAGACGGTGGTTACATCAGTCATGTGGACGTCAGTCTATGGGAAGAGCCGTCTAGGCAGAGGGACCGGCAAGTGCAAAGGCTCTGGGGCAGGAGCTCATCTGGTGTATTTGAGAAGCAACAAAGAATGAAGGAGAGGAAAGTAGGAAGAGATGACATGGGGGAGAGGATAGCCACGGAGTCTTGCTGACCATAGGGGACTTTGGCTTTACTGTGGGTGAGGTGGGAGCCATGGGAGGTTTAAGCAGAGAGGTTAGGGACCTTTCTAAAATGATCCTTCTGCTATTTTGCAGAGAACAGGCTCTATGGAAGCAAGGGCAAAAGGAGGGAGACTTGCAGGAGGCTCCTACAGTCATACAATGACCTGTCCAGTAGCCAGGTGAGGGACAACGGAACCTGGACCAGGCTGCGCGGTGGAGGTGGTGAGAAGTACGTGATGGGAGGCAGGATATAGTTTGGAGTTAGAGATGACCAGGTTTGCTGGCAAATTGGGGCTGGGGTGTAAAAGAGAGGAGTAAGGGGGAACAATTGGAAGGATGGAATGGCCACCGATGGGGATGGAGAGGGGTGGGTCTGGAGGGAACGAGGGAGAGCTGCAGGCTGGACAGTGGGGCCTGAGGTACCCTTAGACATCCCGGCGGAGAGAGCGGGCCCCAGCGACAGAGTGGAGCTCACAGAGGGACCCAAGCTGGACATGCACATTCGCGGTCATCAGGGTGTCAGCGACATTGAAAGCCAGCTAGATGTGACCCTGAAAGAAGTAGGTGGAGCAGGTCACAGTCAGGGAGGAGAAGCTGCAGCCACGAGCTGGGGGGAAAGAAGTGACGGCCACCCTGGAAGCCAAGGAAGGAAAGGGTTTCAAGGAGGAGGGAGTGAGATGTCTGGTCACATGCTGCCAATGGATGAGACGCAAGGAGGACTGGGGACTGGCCATTGGATTTAGCAACCTGAGGATTGGCATCCTTGGAGAGGGTGGGGGCGGGGAGCCAGATGGGAAAGGGTGCAAGAGAGGCCGGGAGTGCAGAACTGCAGACAGCTCTTTCTAGGAGTTGGCTACAAAGAGGAGCAGGGACATGAGGGGCACCAGCAGGGTTTGGTGTGGGAGCAAGGAGCGTGCTTGTACAGGGATGGGTCGCGGCTGGAGCCGGGCCCCGGTGCGGGACCCCAGGCTCTGAAGGATGGCTGCCTTTGGGAGGGGCAGGGCGAGGGTTCACCCAGGGGTCGGGCAGGAGGGCAGGTCCCATGGGTGCATCTGGAAAGGCATGCGGCCAGCATCCATGGGGCTTCTCTTCCGAGTGGTTCCATTTGCTCATTGAAGCCGGAGGCAAAGTGTATGTGTGTGTGTGTGGTGGGGGGGGGGTGTGGGGGGGTGTGTGGAGAGGGCAGGTCTGGGAAGAAAGCACGAACTGTCAGCCAGGAGAGCAGGAGGGAAACTGTGAGGCACATAACTGGGCAGTACCAAGGGCTCGCACCACAAGCAGAGGGCACCCTAGGCCCGGGGCCTGCCCGCATGGGGAGCCAGCTGCCAGCCCCACCTCTCCTCTCCAGGACCCCTTTCTGAGTCAGACTGCCACTAACCAGTCATTGGCTCCTCACTTTGGGCTTCTCTGGCCCCCGTAGGATAGGCCCTTTGTCTCTCCCCTTCCAGACGCATCTCTTTGCCCTGCGCCCAGTACCCGCAGCACAGCCTGAGCCTGGGCGGGAGGAGCCCTTCACACAGCTCCCCGAAGTGCTGCCTTTACCCTAATCCCTTTGGGGGCGCAGGAGTTGACTTCCCCCTAGCCGAGGCTTTGGAGTGCTGGTCCCCTGGGTCCCTCAGCCCCATTGGAGCACCCACTCCCTGAGGGGTGATTCACTCCTGGAGCCAGGGGACGAGTTGAGGGCTGTGATACCAGAGTGGGAAGCCAGGCTTCAGGAGGAGCCCTGGGCTGCCTGCTCTGGACACTCTCCATCCCCTTGCACCGTGTGCTGAATTGCACGCGTGCATGCGTGCACACACCGGGGTGTGAAAGCCAGCTCTGGGCAAGGACACCCCCTGGGTACCTGAGTCCTGCGTCTCCCTCCCTTTTCTCCCTACTCATGCTGGGCCCTGGAGACCCAGAGGTGACAGAGCTGTGGTCCCCACCCTGGAAAAGTTCTCAAGTTGGGCTCAAGTGAGCAGAGGCACTAACTCGTGCCAAGCACCACCGGCGCACTGGGCCTTCTCCCACTGAGCCAACTGGCTCCGAGCCCAGGGGCAGCCCAGGAGGGCTTCAGGCAAGTGGAGGCAATGTTCACACTCCTTCTGCTTGTTGGTTCACAAGACCGGGGTGCTGTGAGAGCTCTCCTTCCCTAGCTGCTGGGAGCTGGGGGCGCTTGGCTCCAGCAAGGAACTTGCACTTGGCCTGAGCCCCAGGACCTAGAACACAGGTGAGGTAGCTCTCCCATCTCACAGAACGGAAGGAAGGGTGTTGCCAGGCACCGCTGAGCCTGGAAATGCGGTCTGTCCTGCTGCAGCCCCCACAGCCGTCCCAAGTCGCCCCCAGGGGCCTCTCCCAGGAGGGCCCACTTACCTAGGAAATACCAGAGCAGGACCCCCACCGAAGCTAGCACGACCAGGGCCAGCCACAGGGGCACCAGGCGGAGGTAGTCCCGAACTTTTCTCTTGGAAATTTCGGTGGCCTTGAACATCCCCTCCGGCTCTGCTTCCTCACCGTCACCTCCGTCGCCCTGTCCACCAGCCACTTGGGGGGCCTCGGCCACGGGCATCCTGGTGGAGAAGCAGATCAGGGTTGGCCACGCCCTGGCATCTGCAGGGGGGCTTTTGCCAAAGACCAATGGTGCACAGAAGTGAGACAGCATCCCCGCCTTTTGTATTTTGCTTTTTAAAGATGTGATGTTATTTATTTATTCATGAGAGACACACAGAGAGGCAGAGACACAGGCAGAGGGAGAAGCAGGCTCCCTGTGGGGAGCCCGATGCGGGACTCGATCCCAGGACCCCGGGATCATGCCCTGAGCTGAAGGCAGATACTCAACCACTGAGCCACCCGGGCACCCCCCACACTGCCCCCACCTTTTGGATGAGGAAGACCATAGCTCCAGGAAGCAGCGATTGAGAGAGGACACCGAGTCAGCGTCAGCTCGTAGAGTAGGAAACAAATCTCAGAGCGGCCCGCTCCCGAGGACGAGCAGCAGAGCCGGACTCCATGTGGCTCTGGAGCCCCCGCCCCTGCAGCCGTACCAGCCCCTCTGTGATCAGAGGACAGATGGAGGTTTCGGTGCCTGAGGTGCCCCGGGCCCCCCTGAGATGACATCCACAACCAGAGCACACAACTTCTGTAAGCCAGCTCGTGGTGCCTCTAGCTTTCCTTCCACTTGGGTGCTTCTCCTTCCTCTAGCTTCTCTACAGCACACTCCCCGAAATCCTGATGCTTTCCACTCACTTGAACCCTCCCTGGAAGCCCCTGAGCCAGTGCCCTGCTGGGCCAGGGACCTGTCCTTCCAGGGCTCCCATACCTCTTATCTCCTCACTTCACCAAAGGTCTCTTCGGGACAGAGGAACCGACTCACATTCATTGAGCCTCAATGGGACACATTTCATTTAATCTCCTGTTCACCCAGGGACGCGGGGCTCATGGTCCCCGTGCACTCTTCTCCCTCATGCCCACTCTGAGTGGACACCTGATGTGTATGATCTCACTCAAACCTCCAAACACCGTTCGAGGTTCTGTACCCATTGGACAGATGAGGAAACTGAGACCCAGGGTGTTTTAGCCACAGTTCAGCCCAAGGCTTTCCTAACCTCGTGTTCCCTATGTGATTTGAATACCTGTCACTCACCATCAGCCTCATTGTACAGATGAAAAAACCAAAGCCCGGGAGGCTAAGCCACTGGCCCAGGGTCACTGGAGGCAATGGCTTGACACCTGGGCTTGACCCACAGACGACAGCATGGGTCAAGCCCAGGCGTCGGACTCCCTGCTCCTCCCACCACCCTGGGCTGCTTCCTGTGAAATGAGCTTTTAATGAACAAATTATGATTTAATAGTAACTGAGCTCTGCCCTCTCAGTGCCCCCGGTCTACGGCTGTATTTTCAGGAACCACCCTCTGCCCCCCAAGGTAACCTCTGAGAGTTACTCGGGTTCTCAGGCAGGTTTTCCCACAGGACAGAGAAGGCCCTCCAGCCACCCACCCACCAGCAGAGCGAGGATTCTAGGCCACGGTGAGGTTCCCTCTTACTACATCCATAAATGCCACGGTGGCTTTAAAAATGCATCCCCAGGGGCACCTGGGGGCTCAGTCGGTTCAGTGTCTGCCTTCGGTTCAGATCATGATCTCAGGGTCCTGGGATCGAGCCCCATGTCGGGCTCCCTGCTCAGCGGGGGAGACTGCTTCTCCCTCTCCCTCTGCCTGCCTGCCGCTCCTCCTGCTTGTGCACTCTCAGTCAAATAAATACATAAACAAAATATTTTTTAAAAAATAAAAATACACCCCCAGATATGTGGGTGGTGGTAGGGGTTTCCTTTGGGCTGTCATGGGTTTCCTGAAAATGGGGCTCCTCAGTGGAGCTCAGAGACCTCCCACCTGGATTCAAGGGGCCTCCTGGCCCTCCTCCCTGCTTCCCTGCTCCCCGTCACTCCTCTTAGCACGGTTCCCAGGTAAGAGTGTCTGGCAACCAGTCACAGTGACCCTCACAGTGTCCCCACCCAGTGCAAGGGATGAGGGACTGCTGGCAATTCTCAGCTTCTCAGCTGTGCTGAGACCCCATCCACCCTTAACCAGAGGGCATCGGTACATACGGGCCAGGTCCTGCTGGCTCTCCTGGGGCCACAACCAAGGATGGTACATATCCTGCAATGGTTGGCACAGCCCTGCCCACTGCCCAAAGTGTCCACAGCATCCCTGGCAAGAACCTGGCTGTCCCGACAAGCTGAGCAGCGCTGGATCCGGGGAGCCCAGGTGACAAGCCAGCTCCTTGCCCTCTCTCAGCCCAGGTCCACCCCTTCTGCCAGAGGTGGCCACATCCCTGGTTTCCTCTTGAGTGTGGATCATGAATAGCTAAGGAGCTATTTCATGATGACTTGCAGAACCAGGGGGACTTGGGGCACAGAGGTGACAATAGTGGACATTTACTTCAACGGTTTTATACACACTGTCTCATGTTTGCCCTCAGAGGGGGAAGTAGGTTCTCTTATTATCCCCATTCTACAGATGAGAAAGTGGAGGCACAGAGGCTGAGTGGCTTGGCCAAGGTCTCATACTGGGTTAGCAGCAGAACCAGGCTGCAAAGCCAAGCGGTGTGTCTCCAGAGTATTGTCCTGACCCTTATGCTCTACCCCCTCACACGTGATCAGGGTACTGGCAGGGAAAATGAGGCTCAGAGAAGGTCATAGGTCTATTAGAGGAGGCACCAAGGGGAGCGGAGTCCAGGGTAGGGTGTTCAGTAGGCCTCCCCTCCCTTCTTCTCCCCACTCCCCAGGCCAGGCCTTCACTCCATGGATTTCAGCTCCTTCACACCCGTCTAGGAGGACTGTGAGCATATTAGGAGCTCATTTTTAGGACAGCCACTGTGTAGGGCCACCTGGGTGGCTCAACGGTTGAGCATCTGCCTTTGGCTCAGGGCATGATCCCAGGGTCCTGGGATCGAGTCCCACATTGGGCTTCCCGCAGGGAGCCTGCTTCTTCCTCTGCCTGTGTCTCTGCCTCTCTCTCTGTCTCTGATGACTAAGTAAATAAAATCTTTAAAAATAGGAAAGAAAGAAAGAAAGAAGAAAAGAAAGAGAGAGAGAGAAAGAAAGAAGAAAGAAAGAAAGAAAGAAAGAAAGAAAGAAAGAAAGAAAGAAAGAAAGAAAGAAAAGAAAGAAAGAAAGAAAGAAAAAAGAAAGGCCACGGTGTAAAGACCCAAGATTAGATACAGTCCAAGTTGGCGGGAGATAATTGTTGCCGAGTCAGGAACCTCCCACCTGGACCCCCAGGGCCGACTCCCCCCTGGGCTCCCTGTCTCCCCTCTCCTCCATGCCATGTCCTCACAGTGTCTCCAGACAGCACACCCTCTTCATCTCCAGCCATCCACCTGCTCAGAATCCCCTCATGGCTAATAGCCACCTCTGGACCCCAAGACCCTCCATGGCCAGTCTGCTGCCCACCCTCTCCTGTAGCCCTAACTTCCATCATGGACATCACCCGGCAGGCCTACAAACCACATCTTCATGCAGCCACACCCTCTGCCTGAAGACCTTTGGATTCCCCAAAGGCCCTGTGCAAGGCCACTGCCCAGTGATAGGCCCCCAGGCCCTGAGTAGTAAGGGCCTCCTCTCCTGGGCAGCCCTTAGATCAACAGTATGCCTGGCTTGTGTGTGTGTGCGTGTGTGTGTGCGTGTGTGCACGCACACACGCACACACACTTTTTTTTTTATTAAATTTTTTTATTTATTTATGATAGTCACACACAGAGAGAGAGAGAGAGGCAGAGACACAGGCAGCGGGAGAAGCAGGCTCCATGCACCGGGAGCCCAACGTGAGATTCGATCCCGGGTCTCCAGGATCGCGCCCTGGGCCAAAGGCAGGCTCCAAACCACTGCGCCACCCAGGGATCCCCCGCACACACACTCTAAAGATTTATTTATTTGGGAAAGAGCGAGAGCATGGGGAGTGGGGGCAGAGAGAGAGAGAAAGAATCTCAAGCAGACTCCTCGCCGAGTGTGGAGCCCGAAGTGGGTCTCAGTCTTATGATCCTGAAATCACCACCCGAGCTGAAACCAAGAGTCAGACGCTCAACCGACTGAGCCACCCAGGCGCCCCTAGTATGCCTGGCTTTTGGCTCCATGTCTCTCCCCCACAGGAAGGACAGGTCTGTGTCTTATTCACCCCTGCTTTCCCATAGAACTCAGGACAGGCTCTGCTACATGAACGAAAGAATGAATGGCTAGGGCCTCCCTGTCTCCAGGCTCCTGGTGCAGTGTTCTCTCCTACACCTCACTGTCTCCAGGACACGGGACTTGAGGGGCTAGGAGCTGAGGCTTACATCCCTTGCCTGTCTATGGAGGCCTGGGTTCGGTTACTAACCCATCCCGTTTTTGTCAGGTACCTGCTTGGTGCCAGGCTCTGCTATGGCCATGGAGCAGGGTGGCAGGTGGGGGTGCTCACATGAATAAGAGACCTCACTCTCGTCCTTTTGGGACTGAGAGCCCATCAGGAGATAGACAATTGTGACAACTGACAGCTGTGAAGGTGATCCACTGCTCTTGTCTTTTACTGTTAGACTGCCCTCCTCTGACTGGGCCAGCTCCCCCCACCCCCATTATTTTCAGGATCTAGTCCATCAGAAAGGTCTGTGGCTCTACTTCCAACCACCCCCAGAACCCAACCCCTTCCTGGCACCTCCGTGGCTCCCACCATCATCCAGGTCAGTATCATCTGTCACCTTGACCTCTGCAGTAGCCAGCCGTCTGGTCACCCTCCCTAGCGAATTCCCACACCACTGCCAGACTGGACTTCCCACCATGTTCCCTGCTTGTGGGCCTCCCACGGCTCTCATCTGTCCAGAACAGAGCCCAAAGCCCAGATGCCAGCCCACAAGGGCCTATGTGACATGGTCCTGGTCTTTCTGTCCTCTCCCACCCTCCACTGCAGCCACTCCCTTCAAAATATCAAGTACAGGCCACCCCAGGACCATTTAGCTTGCTGTTCCCCCCCCCCCCCCCCCGGCCAGTAACGCTTTCCCTTCAGTTTGCCCCATTGCCTGCTCCGTTCCCTCCTTTTTCTTTGCTCAGATTTCTTCAGAGCACTTCTCATAACCCAAATGGCATGATATGCTCATGTGTCCTTTGTCTGTCTCCTCTCTGGCTGTAAGCTGCTCCAGAGCAGGGGTGGGATGCTGCTCTCTGCCCTGTGCCCTGTCCCGACAGCAGAGCTCAGCACTTGATAATTGTTGCCGAGTCAGTGAACGCTAGGATCCCCGCTCCTTTCCAACAGCTGGAGCTGGAGTGTGCTGCGGGCACGCGTGGCCTGGCCAGCCTGGCCTGCCTTCTTTCTCCCGGCTCCCTCTTTTCCCTTCTGCACCCTAGTGACATTGGACTTGCTGGTTATCAATCCTATCAATAATGAAGATGGTAGAAAACTTAGATCAAGGGCTCTTCGCTCACTCTGCATGAAGAGCATCACACAGATTGTTTCTTGAGCTCTGAAAATGCTTACTTGCCACCTGGCTTTCCCACGCATTCTTCCTTCTGGCTTTGTATCCCTCCTCTGACTTGGCCAGCTCCCAGCTGACCCCTGCACACCTCAGCATAGCTCCCACCACTTCCTGGCAGCTCTCCCAGAGTGCCCCAGGTGGGGCAGCTGCCTCTCTTGAGGCATCCTGGGCCACCCCCATCATTGCACAGTTCACCTTGGGGGCATTCTCTGCCCCCTGATGGGGAGCCCCTGGAAAGAGAGGCTGGATCTGCCCCCAACCGACACAGGGGCCTGAAGCTTCTTCTCTGACCTGAGCACCTGGCACCTGCTCCTCCTGCTTTCCGACCACTGGGGTGTCCTCAGTCTGCCCACTGGAAGCTGAGCTCATGGGGGGTTGCAGGGCCGGGCCTCCTCCTGCCCACAAGCTCTTCTCTGGACAATCCCACAAACCACAATCTCTTTCAGCCTCCAGGAGCCTGGGATGTTTGCTTTGTTATCTCTATTTAATGGCTGGGGAAAAGAGGTACAGAGAACTAAAATGATTTACCAAGATCACTCATCCAAGGCAGGACAGAACAGGGAGGAAAAGAACCAGAAATCTGATGTTGGGCCATGGGAGGCACCTCCTCGGGCCTAGAGCAGATCCCTGCTACAAGCAGTTTGTGTGTGCCCAGGAGTGGGGGTATGTGCTTGGAAATCCCTTCCACAAACACAAATCCGTTATAAACTCATACACAGTGTACACACTGAGGTACATACACATCTGTCGTGACACACAAACTCATGGGTGCATTGCTCACTCTTCACATGTGTGCATGTGCACGAGCATGCACTCACACACACACACACACACACACACACGCAGAGCCAACTGCATTCAACTCTGAGCCTGGGCACTAAGGGTGAGACTATTTTGCAGTGTGAGACTCTGGGCCTGTCTCCCACATCAGGGAGCCCAGGTAAGTGTGTGGGTAAGGAGGAGGGCATGTCCAGTCTTGCAGAGCGAGGGTACGGTGCTCAGCCTGGCAAATTGGGCCTCTCGTCCACTCAGTCCCTGCTCCAGAGTCCACCAACCCCACCTTTGCCCAGGCCCCCAGCACCCAAAACCTGCAGCCCCTCCACTGCCCCTGTACCATCCCTGCGCCTGGCCTCACTCCACCCTGTCCTGCCTCAACCCCAGCTCTAGGGATTGGACCCCTGGCCTCCCGCTTACCCAGTCACTGTCTGGCCGATGAGGCCCCGTAGACCTGGCCTCAGAGCAGGGCAGATGGCTTGAGCCCCAGCGAGTCAGACCTGGCTCTCAGAAGGGACACTGACACCAGGTCATTCTTGGTTCCTGGGCCCCTGCTCCGGAGGCCCCCGCTTACCTTTGGGAGTGGCAGGTGGGTGCCGGGCCTGCACGCAGGCCACAGAGCCTCTGTTTGTCCGGGCCAAGGTCTCCCCACCCCCACCCAGCCAGCCTGGGCTGGATCAATGGCCCAGAGCCATGGCCAGGGTGTCTGGCCCTTGTCCCCTGTGGCCTGTGGCCCCAGGCTCCATGGGCCTTCTGCCGGGTTCAGGTCGGCACTGTGACTGAGCACAGGTAAACAGGCCGGAGGCAGAAGCCAGGCAGTGCCCGCCCCGCCCCGGCCCGCCCCGTGGGCACCCCGGAGCCTGGCAGGCAGGTGCGGGAGATCTGAGCTCTCCCCTGAGGCCTGTTGCCTGGTGATGTTCCTGCCTGGTTACAGCCCCTGGTCCCTTAGAGCACGAGGCAGGGATGACTGAAGATGGGGGGCTGCGCAGAGGGGCCCAGGCGGTGGGGCGGGGACTCACACGGGTCTCCTTACCTAGACTGCTGAGGCCGGAGGGGCCAGTGGCAGAGAGAAGGGGAGGCTGGGCCCACGTGGTCCAGAGACAGAAAAGGAGAAAGTGGGGTGGGGATGGGGTTTGATGTTATTTTCTGTTCAGCTGGAAATTGTTTGAATTACTGCATGATTCTCTAGATCTGTGCTCTCCATCTTGGTGGCCACTGGCCACGTGTGGCTTTTGGGCCCCTGGGATGCAGCCAGTCTGGCCTGAGGATGTGCTTCATGGTAAGATGCACGCCAGGTTTCAAAAACTTGGTGCACACAAAGAATGTAAACTACCTCGACAAGAATATTTCACGTCGACGCTATATTGAGACAGCACAGTTGGGCTGTATTGGATTAAATAAAAACATTTTTAAAATTCAACGCACCTGCTTCTCTTTATAATTGTAACGTGGCTCCTAGACCCCTGAAACCACAAGTGTGGCTCACATTCCAGGGCTAGTGAGCTGGTGAGCTGCAGTGGACACGGAGGGGCTCACCGAGTGTGCTCCGAAGCACGTGCTATAAACCGGGATTTCCCGGGTATATACAGGCTGGTCCGTGTTTATCCCTTGTGGGGGGCTGCTCACCAGAACCCTGTGTTATATGAGTCCCAAGGTGTATGTGAATGTGAAGTAGGGTAATGTATGAGTGTGGAGCGTGAGATGTATGTGTGCGGAGTGCAAAAGTGCGTGTGTGTGAGGAGTATGGTGTGTGAGGTATGTGAGTGGAATGGGAGGGGTGTGAGTGTGAGGTGAGTGTGTGGAATGGGAGGTGTGAGGTTTCAGTGTGAAATGTGAGGGGTGTGAGTGTGGAGGGGAGGAGTGTGTCCAGCGTGTCTGGGCCAGGTTGCCAGGCGCCCTGAGGAGCAGGCAGGGTGAGGATGGCTGCAGGGCAAGGAGTGCTCCTTCATGGGCTCTAAAGGGGCCTGCTGAACGTGTGTGTCCCTGTCATGTGCCAGTGTGCATGCATGTGTGCACGTGTGCTTGTGTGAGTATGTGTTCTGGGGTGTGTCCATCAGGATCCAGTGTCCAAGCACTGGGAGCACAATCTCTGCACCTCGCTGGCTGCCGTGGGGCTGGCTGGGGAACCTGGGTGGGGGGCTCCTTCCCCCACTCCTCCTATTCCTCAGCCTGCAGGGACCCGGGGACCCAGGCCCCCAGCTTTGCCCCACCTCCACGGCCCCCACCTCAGGATGTCCCCTCCTCCCTCCTCCCCGCCTCCCTGGCCCTGCTCCCTTCACACCCTCCACAGCTGCTGCAAGCTTTCCAAAGGGGAGTGGGATTCGGTGGGGGGCAGGGGGCAAAGAGACCCGAGCCCTGTCTCTGTACCGCATCCTGTCCTTCAGAAGGCAAAGTGGCCCAGGCCCCGGAGCAGGCAGGCTAGTAGCTGGACAGTGTGAGAAGCAGAAGATCTTGTGCAATCAAGGTCCTCTGTACTTGGCGGCCACAGGGCCATTGATCAACCATGGCCTGAGGGGAGGGGCTGGCATGAGGGGGCAGCAAAGTACTCAGGGGGGTGTTTGAAGGCAGGGGTACAAGGGACGGTGGCACCAACTCCCCAAGAGCTCAGAGAGCTGTGAGTGGAGGCACAGTCTGCCCCCCGAGTCAAGGCTTCCCTCTGCGAACAGGGCAACATGTGCCCGGGACACCCTTTTCCCGGTGGCAGAGGGACACATCCACACATAGACCAGATGAGAGCCTCAGTGCTCCCAGGCTCTCTGCCTGTCACCTAACCCTGGGCCCCCTCGGGCTCTAGGGACAGAGAAGCCACCTGGTGGTCAGTGAGGCTTGGAGGCCAGGAGGCTGGCAGAGAGGGCTCAAGGCAGCAGGACAGGAGGGACAGGCCTCAGTGGGCCCACTGCACTCAGGTGACAAAGATCTAGCCAGGGGATGGAGAGTTAGAGGACCTGGCTGGAGTCTAGTCCCTCCCCCTGTCAGTGACCTGGCAAGAGAAGCAGGCTCCCCACCCCGATGCAGGACTCGATCCCAGGACCCCGGGATCACGCCGAGCCAAAGGCAGACGCTCAACCGCTGAGCCACCCAGGCGCCCCTCGTAAGACATTCTAAAGATGGGCTCGGGTCCAGAGAGAGAGGCCACCAGGCCAGCGAGTCACAGCCCTGACCTCTGCCCAGCGGGAGGGGTGCTGCCTGCCTTCCCGGGGGGCACAGGGAAGGCGCTTGGACGTGCTGATGTGCGCCCCAGATTCACAGATGGAAGTCCTGACCTCCAGGGCCTCTGGATATGACCCTATTTGGAAAAAGCGTTGTCATTTATGGAGATGAGATCCTAGCGGAGTGATGGAGCAGGGGTTCCCCTGATGTCCTTATAGACGGGGAAATGCCACCCGGAGGGAGTTCCGTGTAGATGAAGGCAGAGATCAGGTGGTGTGTCCCCTGGCTGGGGGAGGCCGGAGACGGCCGGCTAAGCGCCAGGAAGCGGGGAAGGGACATGGAGCGGGTCTTCCCCGCAGCCCTCCGGAGGAAGGCGCCCACCAGAGAGGCTGCAGAGCCGAGATACCTGCGTTTTTACGGGCGGCCTTCAGGCAGTGCCACGTCTTAAGCCACGGGGTGTCAAAATGGGGGCAGCTCAGGCACAGAGGGGGGCGGCCAGAGTGAGACCCCCAGGCCCAGCCTCGAGGAACAAGCCCCCATCTCCACTCAGCAGAGGAGGAGACCGAGGCTCTGGGAGGACCAAGGCTGACGTGCCCCAGGTCCCACAGCCCAGGGGCTCTGGCCTGACCCCCTGAAGGGAGGCGTGTCGTGTTCCCGGGCTGCCACGAGGAAAGACCATCATCCAGCCCTTAAAAGGACAGAAATGCATTCTCTCACAGCTCTGGAGGCCTAGACCAGATGTCAGAGGTCTGTGCTCTTTCTGGGGGCTCTAGGGAACATTCCTTCTTCACCTCTTCTTGCCTTTGGGGTGTTGCTAGCCACCCTCGGTGTTTCTTGGCTGGTGGAGGCATCCCTCCAGCCTCTGCCGCCCTCCTCACGGGACCTCTTCCCTGCGTCTCTGTGCCCAATATCCCCCTACTTATAAGGACACCGGTCGTGTTGGATGTCAGGGTCACCCTAGTCCAGTGTGACCTTATCTTAGCTTACTTACATGTGCAAGGGGACCTGTGTGCAAACATCGTCACGTTCACAGGTTCCTGGGGGGCCTGAATGGGGTAGGGGGGACACTATTCAATCGGGTGCAGGAAGGAAGTGGTGGTACTGCGGGGTCGCTCTGGCGGGGATTAGCCTGGGAGCAACGGGAGGGCCACCCTCCTGGTCAGCCTGTGCTGTGGGTCAGCCAAGCCCCAGAGCCCACGAAGGCTGGGGTTGAGAGTGGAGTTGGGCGTCCAGCCCTCCCCGGGGGGAGTGTCCTGCCGGCTGAGCCTCCCTCTGAATCCCTTTGAGGCAGGCTCATGGCCCGGGGGCTGGGGTGGGGTGGGGGGGTGGGGGGGCCGCAGTGGGGGCCCAGGGGGCGGGCTCCAAGTGCTCCAGCTAGTGCTGTCTAGACAGGTATTTGGGGGACTGAGCTCCTCTAGGCTCCAAGGTAGGGTATTCGTTTCCGAGCACTGTCCCAACAAGGTACGGCTGATGGAGCGGCTTAAAACAACAGAAACGCATTCTTTCACAGCTCTGAGGGCTAGAAGCCCAAGGTCAAGGTGTCGGCACGACCAGCAGGACCGTGCTCCCTCTGAAGGCTCTACAGGAGGATGCCTCCTGCCTCTTCCTAGCTGCGAAGCTGGCTGGCAACCCTTGCCATTCATTCAGTCTCTGCCTCTGTCGTCGCAGGGCCTTCTCCCTGTGTCTGCCTCTGTGTCCCTTCTTTCTTGTAAGGACACCAGTAATACTGGATTAGGACCCACCTAAGGACCTCACCTGAGTTACTTCAGCAAAGACCCCCATTTCCAAACAAGGTCATGTTCAGAAGTACCAGGACCTCAACATATTTTTTGTGGGACACAGTCCAACCCATCCCAGGTGGGGTGAGAGGTGGGGACAGGCTGCTTACTGGCCGAGCCACGGGCTGCCGTTCCAAAGGTCCATGTAACCCTGAGTCCTCACATCACTGCTGAAGTGTGTTCTATCTCTATGCCTGAGCTACTAGCACACTCACTCCCCTCCCCTCCACACACAGGTGTCACCTGTCACTTCTCCCTCCTGTGGCCCCTGGGGCCTCCCTGTGAGCCCTCCTGTGACTGGAAGGAGAAGAAGCTCTGTGAGCTGCACACAGCTTTCTCATGGCCTCAACCGAGCCTTCAAGGGTGGCCAGGCAGGGTCCCTGGAGGCCGCCTCTGTCATCTCTGTCACCTCTGTCCAGCACTGCACCTCGCTTGCTCACTCACTTATTAAACAGGTCTCGGCACCAACGTGGTACCAGCCTGGGCTGTGCTTCCAGGCCAAAGAAATAAACGAGGCCTCATCTGGTTCCTGAGGGATGCAGCTCACCGGGGGAAGACGCCCCTTTGTCCTCCCAGCAGCAGGCAGAGGTCAAGGCCCTCAGCAGTAATGACGGTGCTCCTCAGTGTTTCAGGATGAGACTCCACCAGGACGGCCGGTCATCGATTCAGGTGTGAGACCTTTCAGGAGTCATTGTCTCAGTGGCCCTACTTCCCTCACCTGTATGGGGGATGCGAGGTCCCTAAGGGCTTCTGGGACCCTTATGGAGGCCCTAAGACCAGCTTTGTGATACAGCCAACCAGATGCAGGACAGGCCTCATCCCCCTGTAAAAA